TCACTAGAAGGCAGAAAGATTTCATCATCCGACAAAGATTCATTTTCTTCCAATAAGGCCGCAGCAATACTATCATCCCGCAGGTTATTATTCATATTGACGATCTATACCTGAAATAAAAATAAAAAAGTATAAATAAAACACTTATTGTAGCTGTAAAAACATAAAAAACACATAAGTAGGTACAAACTTTTTTCACGACGACCCATACAACGTGGGGTTAAAAACACCCGGGAACCACTTTGGGCGCGTGTACACACGGCGCTGGCGCGCGCAACACTGATCCGACGCTGTGATTTAACGCGGCAATATTTAATCTCCAGCTACTGTGAAAATCAAGTTGTTTAGTTTCGTTTTAATATAAAATCAACACAATTTAAAAGTGTTGGGGTTAAAATAACCCCACCTTGTATGCCGAAGGTTAAGAATTTGCAAGAATTCTTATTCGTTATCATCTCTTTCTTTTAATAATAAATCACACTGTGTCCTGGATGCCTTTAGTTAACGTGCTTTGATACTCATCATATTTAATTTAACCCTTTGTAGCCCAAGATCATACTATTTTAAATTACTTTGGGATAAGACAGGTTTAAACAAATAAAAAAACACGTATTTCTCAAAATTTAAAAAATATTTATTATTTTTTATTTATTTGACATTTTAGGGAATGTAACATTACTGTAACATTGGGTTAAACTAACAGAAAATGTAATTATGTGGTATGAAAGGATCTGAAACAATTATTTTGTTTATTGTAACATAACGCTACTCCGCATTTTTCGCAAATCGTTTGTGATACACCAGTACATTTGGGAAATTTGCACCGAACCCTTTTTTCTACCCAAATCGGCCAGTGGCCAATTTGATCCTGCCTTACTGCCAGTGGGGGGACATGTTGCGCTGGCCCTTTATGTTTTTTGGCTTGGATTTCATTTTCGATCGTCCTTCGGTGCTTGATATTAGGTTTCAAACCCATCTTGCATAAAGTCTCACCGATCTCAAGGCGAAAATCTGCTGAAGACATTTGTTTGTCACTGCAATTTTTTGCCTGCCTTACTCTTCGATATAATAGCCAAGAATTGGCCATAGTCAGATCTAATAAATGATAGAACATCCGAACCTGCCATCTTTTACTTCGTGTCAAAATTTTATACCTTCCCATAATGCTGTCAATCAAATCTACGCCTCCCATATGCCGATTATATTCACCGACAACATGAGGGCGATCAATGTTGATATACTTCTTATTGGCCTTATCGTATCGTCTAACTTGGGCCTTTGGCAATTCACCAGCAAAAGATGATACAAGCGTTACAACTTTATTGTCTTTCCATATAACGTTTGACACATCAATTCCGTCCATATTCGCTACATATTCAACTGAAAATCCGCGTTCTTTTTTCATTACTTCCTTGTCAGCGGGTAGTTTACAATCTGGAATACGATTGCGTCGTACTGTCCCAAGACTCAATATACCCTCTTTAGCTAAGTACTCCAGTAATGCCAAGGAAGTAAAGTAATTATCAAAATAAAGTTGATAATTCTGATGCCTTGGTATGCCCCGCGCCATTCTGACGACTACGTTTGAAGATGCTCCTAAATCTGGTTCATCAGGAAGCACAACATTTTCAGCTCCTGTTTCAGGTTCAATTTTATAGGCAAAACCTGAGACCCCACTTAGTACAAAAATCTTATAACCCCATTTGTGTGGTTTTTTGGGATTGTATCTTTTCAAATTACATCTTGCCTTAGTGGAGCAAATCTGTTCGTCCACACAAAGGTATGTCTCCAATGGAACTGTACTAAAAGTCCTATTCAAAGTTTCTACGATAGGTCTAATTTTGAAAAGCCTGTCACCATTAGCTGAATTACGTGGGGGTAAATTAGAATTGTCATTGAAATGGATATACTGTCTAATTTTTTCAAATTTTTGCTTCGGCATTATTTCTTGAATCATGGGTGTACCAATAGTTGTGTTCCAATGACTGGTTACTCTTGGCAATTGTATCAATGACATCAGATAAGTTGCTCCAATAAATTGCTGGATATCGGTATCGGTAATTTGATAGGATTGGTTAGGATTTTTTTTGTATTATGTAGAGATTTGTTTGTGCTGTAATAAAAGTTATCAATTCTTTGGGAAAAAAATATAAAAAGAATTGAATTGGTGTATCAAGCTCAAGTAAATTAGGTGGTAAAGTAGTATTTCCTGTAAATCGCAACTGCTGGTCGTTTAGAACTAGGTTTTTCTTTTTCCATTGTAATTGTCGCTTTTTTTCCTTTTTTATTAGTGGTAGCTTTATTTGAATGGCTCTCTTGCTGTCCAGGATCTGAAGACGAGGCGCCAGCAACAGGCTCACTGCGTTCAGATTCTTCGATAATTGAATCTATATCAACTGCAGTATCTTCTTCACAATCAGAAAATATTTCTAAATCTTCTAATAACGGCTGAAAATCTGGATCAATGACGCTGTCATCATCGTCTTCTAATCCGTCTTCACTATCATATTGGTGCAATAGGTCATCTATTTCACGATCCCTCAGTGTGTGTGACCCCATTCTAAAATAATGGCATAATTTTATATCAATATCCAAATACTTTAGTTTCAATCAATATTTCAATAGTAACTCAATGTAACAGAAATGTTACAAACATATATTGATACGTTTTTTACATAAAAAAGCAAAAATATGCTTTGATAACGATATATGAACAAAATCATTCACTTACCTATAGGTTTCGACGAAAACAATACAATTTTATACACTTTTAGTATATTTTTATAAAATTCAAACTCTCAACGAGTTTCAACCTGTCACTTCCATCGACGGACGTAATTCAAACTCCCTATAATCAACAAGTTACGCCATCTATGATTTGTACTTGATACTAAAATGTTTGGTTTGGTATGTTACAATACAGTAACACTGATTTGAATGAACATAAAATATTTAGTATATATTTTAGCGGGATTATTGAGGTTTGTTACAGAAATGTCACACGAGGCTACAAAGGGTTAACAGTGGGAACCACACATTCTGGGTTGTATTCTTCGCCAACCCTTCGCCTAACATAAGTCACACCGGGTGTTCCAAACACCTATGCCAAACGAAAAAAAAACATTTATTTTCAAAGTTATTATTTTTCTTGCAGTACGTTATTTTAAAAACTTTTATGTGTTTTAATATTGTACATAAAATAAATAACAATACCTCAAAGTTAGATTCTTCTGACCACAGTATGTTGGACCAATCTTCCACTGACCAATCTCTATGTTTGAGTGCCCACTCCAACCGATTTTTCTTATTGTGTTCTGACAGCCACGGCTTCTTCCTTGCTTTATATCCTTTTAATCCAGTTTTAAGAAGTCTTCTTCTCACAGTATAAACACTCACTTAGCTGCCTTTTGCCTCAGATAATGCTGCAGCGAGCTCTGAAGCAGTTTTTTTCCTGTTTTGTAGAGACTGCCTAATCAACCATCGATCTTCTCGTTCAGTAGTGACTTTTCTTCTGCCTGTTCTTGGTCTATTTTCATGGGTGCCAGTCTCTTTGAAGCGATTTATAGCATATTGAACTGCACATCACGAGCACTTCACTTCTCGGGCTATTTGAACCTGAGACATGCCTTGTTCATGTAAAATCTTAATTCTTAGACGCTGTTCAGCACTAAGTTCAGATTTTTTCGGCATGATTAACACGTTAAATGTTAGTCTTTAGAATTGTGATAGGAATAGTTGCGTAGAAGACGTGTATGTTCACTGCAAGCACTGATAACACACTATAACCCGAAACGCAAAAAAAGCAAATTCGAAGAAACACCGCCTAGGAGCACACCTGGATGTCATAAATATTTTCTTTTATCTTAATTTGGTTAAAAATTGACGCTAATACAATAGCTAAACCATAAAACACACACTTGACCGCTATCTAATGAGATAGTGACTAGCAATAGGGGTGCCTAATACTTTTGCACGCAGCTGTATTTTGGAAAGATAATATTTTGTCATTATAATTTAAAATACAATTTCAGGCATATGACCTCCACAACTGGCTCGGACGTAGTTTAATCTGGAGGTCCAATTTTCAACGACTTTTTCCAACATTCGTGGCTGTATAAAGGCAATAACCTACAGCCACGGGCAAAAGTATTAGACATTTTTCTGCACTTGTTTTCTCTTCAAAGTTTGGTTCCAATGCTGCACATAGTTCCTCCCAAGCATTTCGTTTTATTATTCTATTAGAATATTCATTGGTTCTACTATCCCATATAGCTGGGCGTGATTCTATTTCAATAATAAGACGTTCAACAGTATATGACATTGTGAAACGTATGTACTGGGTGGCGCAAAAGTAAAGACCCTATTTGGTTCAGCTATAACATTTTTTCTAAATGAGAAAACTAGATTTAGGTTTTTTTAAATGTAGATTTGTGCCATTAAATTTCGTCGTACCATTAGGATTTAAAGATGATGTCTTTTAAATGGTGACCTCCAGAGTTGATACACATTTGAGCCCTATTTATGACATTTTGCATAACTTGCCGTAACACTTCCTGCGATATGTTCGCTATTTCTTGACGAATGTTTTCTTTTAGAGCTGCGAGAGTCTGTGGCTTGTTCACATACACCCGAGATTTCAAAAAACCCCAAAGAAAGAAGTCTGGACTGGTCAAATCGGGTGATCTTGCAGGCCAAGGCAAATCGCCAAAACGAGAGATAAGTACATATGTATGTACTTAAGTATTTTAATACAGAAACATAGTAATTAAATATGTATATATACATATTAAATCAAAATCAAAATTGCACGTAATCAGGACATTATAACACACAAAAGCGTATTTTTTACTGTAAGTAATCTGTAATTTTTGTCTGTTTTTGTTTTGTCATTTTATTGTAAAAACAGTCTCTAATACTATTGTCTATAGAAGACATACCTATGGTCAAAATATCATTTTCAATATTGCTGTGAACAAATCGTAATAATAATTCTGCAGCTTTTAATGCCTCTTCTGCAGTAGGTAATGGTGCTTCCTCGACTTTCTCATCCCCATCACTTTCGAGTTGTTAATAGCACTAATGTTCTGTACGATATTTTCATCGGTATGTTCTTCGAATGTGAAGAGAGCGCTATCGATGTCAACATATTCTACCCACATTTCCGGTGCTGCTAAAGAATCTGAATTTAGGTTTCGTGACCACAACGATAAAGGAATGTCATCTTCTTCATCGAATTTATGTTCTGATATTTGAATAGTGTTGGGGCTCGGTAGCTCATTGGAGACAATTAAAAGGCGGTGGACTGTATAAAATGTTGTATTGTTCCATATAAGACAGGTACGCGTGTGCGCGTCGAGCGATGTCGCAGCTCACTAATGGACGGGCGTTGGCCGCCGCGGTGCCACCTCTCTCGCTCGGGCAGTGATTGCTCCGTCCCTCTCTGGATGACTCAACAAATAGGTAAACTTTAAACTTTTTCAAAATGTCCACCGCCTTGTTTAATGCACTTTAATGACCGTTTTCACAATTGTGGTTTTATTTTAGATAATACTGCAGTGTCATGTTTCGCTTTTACAAAGGCGGTTATTATCTTATTTTTTAGTTCCTCGACACTAGTTGTCTCTGTGTTATAAACTAGCGATTTAATTCTCCCCCACAAAAAAAAGTCGGGTGGCGTCAAATCAGCTGATCTAGGAGGCCACTGGACAGGCCCTTCGCGACCGATCCAGCGTTCTCCGTACTCGGTTTTTTTTTTGAACTACAGCTCCCTCTGACTTGGTCAGAGACCTTGTTTACATTTGTGTTTTAACCTTCCATTCCAGTTCTCGCTCACACGATGGCCTTTCATTCTTCATACTGGTTCTTTCTTACATCCATCCCTTTCATACCTCTGACCAGTGTGCCTACTATCTATCTATATATCTTAGTCTACTTTGTTGTAGGTGGTTGGGGGAGTTGTCACAATCATATTCTTTATTTCCAACAGCAGACATATACATTTTCAATTAACAATACTTCCAGTAATAGTTTAAAATTATATAAAATTTAAATTTAAAAAACATGATATAACATAATATAAATAACTAAAATTGTATACAATAAAACTTAGACTGTTGGAATACATTAATATTTAAATAATTACAATAAAACCTTAAAACTAATATAATTAATAATTAGTTAAAACCTTAAGTACGGAGCAATAAATAGTTAAAATTCCAATAAATATTATAATTTCAATATTATAATAAATAAAAAGTTAAAATGTTAAAAAAACCGATGCAATCACCCCCTTGTTTTGTTCCTAAGATTTGCTATTTTAACCAGTTTCATACAAAAATCGATGCTGGAAGGAGTCTACTCTGCAAGCGTGTGGATTTTCATGCATCCATAAATGCGTGTTATGTTGATTGTACATTCCCACACGCGTGGGACTTGTTAATTATATAACTTTGTAATAAAATAAAACAAATTGATTTTTTTTTATTGATATAAAATATAATATTTTGGAAAGATAATATTGTCAGTATAATATATCAAAAGTTAAATTATTTATGAAATTTGAGGGTTCAACTACAGCATCTGTTAAGTAATTAAGAAAAGCACGACTATCTCTAGAACCTGCACCTCGGGCTCCGGCTTTCAAAAGTGGATCACTCAAAGTAAAAATTATGACGTCACAAATTAAATGGTCACTTAATTCACAAAGCTTTTCTAGTGCTGGTTTTTTTGTAATAAGTCTATCACCTGTTCATCCCAACGTTTGTTTGTTGTAACTAGGTCGTGTAGTTTCGCAGCGAGTCCACGGTTGGCAGGAAAATATTCTGTCAGCATGTTCTTTCACTCACTTTTTTCTTTTATCATTTCATTGTCCACCTTGCAATGCTTCCCCTGTTTGCCTTGTTGGTCTTCAGGAATAACACCGTCATTGAGTTTTGTAGCATCAATGACAGTTCGTATAGTTCGTGGTGAAATACCCAAGATGTTGTTTAAAAAGTGTTTTACAAATCCGAACTGACTGACCATCATTAAGTAAATAAAATGCTGAGTTACGTTGTTTCTGGTACCGATGATTCGTTGTAATACGTCGAATTGCAATTTCGAGTGGTCTGATGCAAGAATTCAAAAAATCACGCTGTCTCTCTATGCTACCTAGCTCCCAATATGAATTGAAAATTTTAATTCTTTTTTCTTGGGTAAATTTATATGAGCAAAGCAACCGACACTTATCTGAACAAGAGGCACCAATTTTTGTAGCCTGAACTGTTTTGCCAGTTTTTATTGATCGATATTCGCTACCGGAATTCCTTCATTTTTTTTGCTATATTCTTTTTCTAGTTATTAGGATTACGAGTATCTCTTCTTCCCCTTTTTTTAAGTGATGTGGTTGAGGCTTGGTCATCAACAGCCTCATTCTCAGGACTACTATCACTAGATGAACTATTTGAACTGGAGGAATTTCAATAATGATGTCCTTTTTAATGATAACTTTCAAATCAACACTTTTTGTTGCACTCTGGCAAAAAGTAAACAAAATTAGCTGTTTGTATTTGCTCTTAAGGCCTTGTAACATAAATACCAAGGCATGGTCTGCTAATTTATTGATTTTATGTGAACCAAAATGTTCAAATCCAATGATTTCGTCCATTTTTTTTTTTGATAAATAAGCCCGGTGATAATGCCACCTCATCAAATATATATGATAGTACGACACGGACTTGAGTAGGCAGTTGATTCAACCATTCGATTCTAAGTCCTTCATCTGTTACCATGCCGCTACTCAATTCTCGCATTTTTCTTAAGAGTTGCGAAGGTTTCTGGTCTCCGAGTTCCAGACCACTGATGAGTTTTTGAAAATTCTTGACGTCGGATTTTTCGTAGGCGGCAAGTAGTCGTGTCTTCACTGCTTGGTATTTATCAACGGCGGGTGGCTGATATAACTTTTACACAGTACACAGTTTTTTTCATTACTTAACTTACTGACTGCTTTTTTAATATGTTCAATAATGATGTCATTTACACCTGGGGTAAGGGATATATGTACAGCTTAAAACTTTCTGCATGGTACTTTTAGATGCGAACAAAATAGTTTTTGCAATAAATTATAAGCCTTTTAACTTTGTTTATTTATAGTCAAGCACAGTATCTTCTCCTGTGTACTAAATCTTCTAGGTATAGAGTTGGTACAGCATTTTGAGTGAGTCGTTTACTTGAAGAACGGTAAAACTGTTCAAAATGACTATCACATATTCTTATAAAGGGTGTTTTTTTAACCCGTATCTTCCCAAGTCCTCAAAACTCATCTGATTGAAGCGAAACTTTCAGAATCATTTGTTAGTAGCCTAATTATCGATAATATGCAACAAAAAAAAAAATTTCGATTTCCGGTATTTCAGTTACAGTACCGATCCAAAAATGGAACAGTAGGAGAATATGCCACTGTATTTTATTGTTGGTATTGTGTGCTTTTTAGGAAGATTGCTGTAAATAATGAAAGATATTTATGAATAATCTTATTTATTTTTAGTATATAATTTTAGTATTTTTAGTATTTTATATAACATTTAGTATAACATTTAGTATTACAATTTTATTTCGTATGAAACGCAGGAGAACACTTTTGGTGTAGGGCGACGTTGCATTTGCCACATTTCATTGTCGTGTTTTTATGACATAAACCACAACGGTTTTGTTTATCACTTTTGATAATATGGTGTGCCTTTCCATCTAACCTAATATCAACTGGAACTCGTTTTATGACTGCTAGAGATGATCTTGGAATAGGCTTCTTTACTGAAGAAGAATTTTCAGGAAAAGTCTGAAGATATGTTGTTACAACATGTCTTGTAAATGACAAATAGTCATGCTGATTGTTTTGTGAAGCTGGCGATAATTTATATAACTGAAAAGCATTATTCATACATACATTTATAGGAAACATAAGTAGCTGCCAGTACCACCTCTTCAGGCGTATAGAAATACGATAGCATCCCACATTTTGATCCAAACGGTCGACACCGCCCATATATTTGTTATAGTTGACGATGCAGCGAGGTTGGTCGACGTCTTTCTTCTGCTTGTCACAGTAACGTTTTACCTTAGCTAAAGGCTCCACACCACATTCGGTTGAGGCAACGGTAACAATATTGTTGTCATTGTAACGTACGAGGGTGATGTTCGTCAGAGTATCTGTACACTGGTCAAAAGACCCTCTGCTCATTTTCTTCATATCTTTCGCTTCTTTCAAGGGTGCCTTTTCTACCCTATTTGCCCTAACCGTTCCCGTCGCATCGTGTCCTAATGTTTTTATTTCATCCAACAAGGGTAAAGATGTAAAATAGTTGTCCATATAAAAGCTGTAAGTACCGGGCGGCAATTTGGATATGAGGTCTAAAACAACAGAAGCACCTACACCAAGTTCTGGGTGGGTATTTCCTGTGCTTGCCCCTTGATAAAGCTCTCCATATATCAAATATCCAAGACGAGTACATATAGACCAATTCTTATAACCGAACCGAATGGGTTTACCATGAATATGTTGCTTCGTCCCATGTTTCCCGAAATATGGAATCATGGATTCATCAATGCTTAGATTCCTGTCACCGGGATAATATTTTACCCATCTCTTATTGAGTAGATTCCAGAGAGGACGAACCTTCGCGAACTTGTCCTGTGGAGCTAAGTTATTATTATCGGCGACGTGAAAGAATCGTAATAGTTCTTCAAATCTGTTTCTAGGCATAGCAGCTGCCACACCTTGAAAATTACAATCAACACTTTGCTCCCAGTACATACGATATCTAGCAACACTGTTGTAACCAGACAGCAAGAGAATCCCTATAAATCGTTTTATTTCCTCAGTTGTAACTTTGAAATTGTGGTAACCTTTTTGAATAGCATTTTTTTTCGGTTTCAGAGCGAATCAATTCAAAAACGTCTTCGTCAAAAAAAAGTTCAAAAAAGTGAACAGGAGTATCTAGGTGTTCTAAGAAATGTGGTGGCTCTGATGTTTTCTCTGTCTTCACTGGAATATCTACTTTCCTCCACTTTCGGATAGCTGGACATTTTTTTTTCTTTGCCGGTGGTTGTACTGATAAGTCGCCGTGTGTATTATTATCTATAGAAACTTCATTTGATACGCTTTCTATAATATCTAAATTAGACTGTGAAGATACAGTAGCCCTAAACTCAGCCTGTGCTAAGAGCTGCTGCCTGGACAGGTGATTTATGTTCGAAGACTCCTCATCCCCACTGTCTTCATCACTTTTGTCGTAATTATCTGGGGGTGTTATGTAAATATCTGCTGACAATACGTCATCGTTGTCTTCAAGATGCGATATTATGTCATTTACCGACAATCTAAAACAAAATAAACGCAAAATTCAAAAATAACAATTATGTCACTACATAAAATGTTCCATATCCATATTATCCTACTGATCCATTATTGGATCGGTACGTATAAAAGTAAAAAATAAATGTAAATAAGCTAAATGTGCATTTCACTGTCTTGCAATATGATAACTCAACTCCTAGCCGATATAAATACGATACAATAATTATAAATTATCTAAAAAAAAAACAAGAAATACTTACATTCGGCGATGAGACATTTTTTCACAATTTCCAAAAAATTCAGTGCGTAACAAAACACAAATTTCGCGGCCCACCGAGGATCTGACAAGTGAATATGGCGGCAAGAACTGTCAGTGCTGCCACCATAGACAAAAAAAATGGCTGCGTTCACGAAATTTTAGTAAAAAAAATATTAAACTAACCGATCCAATAATGGATCACTGGGATGATACGGGTTAAGCCCGATAGAACTTGAAATTGTAAAAAATTACAAAAAATTAAATTGTTATCAATTTTTTTTTATTCGAAAGATCAATACGTGACATTAACATTTGAAAATGATTTCGCCTTATCTCGCCTCTTTAGCCTGTACATTAATGGGCTGCTTGCAGAGCTGGGTAATAGCGGTATCGGTTGTCACGTGGGGGGCGTCTGCGTAAATAACATCAGTTACGCTGACGTAGTACTAGTAGGTTCGCTATACACTTCGCACTGTGGGGAACGTGTGGAATCCTTTGTACTAACTAGAGCCGATTTTCGAGTTTCGGCATCATATAAGATATAGGGTGTCTCACGGAAAATTTCGAATTTAAAAAGGCTATAAAAAAAGAACGACTCGATAGATTTCAATGATCAAACATTTATTTGAAAGCATAATTCATGACATTATTTGTGAAAAATTATCTCGGTCAAATGTCCACCACAGCTTACTTGGCAGTACCCTATTCGATCAGTCCAATTTTTCAGTACATTTTCAATTGTTTCCGGCCTTATGGCAGCAATGGCAACTTCAATTTCATGTTTCAAGTCATCAATCGTGCTTGGCTTGTTGGCGTAACAAACGTCTTTGACCGCTCCCCAAAGGTAATAATCCAATGGTGTTAAATCGCAGCTTCTTGGAGGCCAATTCACATCACCATTTTTGCTGATTATGCGATTTTCGAAGATTGGGCGCAAAACATCGACCGTAGCATGGGCTGTATGGCACGTAGCCCCGTCCTGTTGAAACCAAATATCGTCCAAATCATACTCTTCCATTTGACCGAAAAACCAATCAGTTAACATAGCGCGGTAGCGCTCGCCGTTGACGGTTACGGCGGCTCCTTCATCATTTTCAAAAAAAAATGGGCCGATGATGCCGCCGGACCAAAATCCGCACCAAACAGTCACTCGTTGTGGATGTATCGGTTTCTCCTCAACGACGTGCGGGTTTTCTGTGCCCCATATACGGCAGTTTTGTTTATTTACATAACCGCCGAGGTGAAAATGAGCCTCGTCGGAAAAGATGATTTTTCGATAAAACTCACCATCTTCGGCCAAACGATCTTCCGCCCAATTTGCGAACCGTAGACGTTTCGGATGATCAATTGGCTTCAGCTGTTGGGCCAACTGAACTTTATATGGCTTCAGGGCAAGATCTTTGCGCAAAATTCGGTGCGTAGTTGACCGAGAAAGGTGCAACTCTTGCGCTCGATGACGAATCGATGTGGATGGCCGTTCACGAACACTTTGTTCCACCGCAGCGATGTTTTCGGTTGACCTTGCTGGAAATGGACGTTTACGTGTTGTTTTATCCAACAGTGATCCAGTTTCGCGCACACGATTCACAAATTGCCGCACATATGCCTCCGATGGCAAATCTTTTTTGGCAAATATTTTTTTCAAATTTCGCACAGTTTGCGTTGGCGATTCACCACTTTGGAAATAATTTTTTAATATTTCCCAGCTTTCCTCAAGCGAATAGCGACCCATTTCGTAAATGTCAGACTTATTACTAAATATGTGACACTTCTCCGATGACAGTTGACGTCTCCAATGTCAAATTATCGTTAGTTCAAATTCGAAACGCTAGATGGGACACCCGTTACTTGTTTTTATAGTTCGAGCTGGAATAATTGGTCTTAACAAATTTCGGCTTAACCTGTACATTAATGGGCTGCTTGCAGAGCTGGGTAATAGCGGTATCGGTTGTCACGTGGGGGGCGTCTGCGTAAATAACATCAGTTACGCTGACGTAGTACTAGTAGGTTCGCTATACACTTCGCACTGTGGGGAACGTGTGGAATCCTTTGTACTAACTAGAGCCGATTTTCGAGTTTCGGCATCATATAAGATACTTGTTTATATAGTTCGAGCTGGAATAATTGGTCTTAATAAATTTCGGCTGTTTGTTTATACATGCTTGATATTTCCAAATATGTTTTACATCTTTGGCCAAAGGATTATGAACTCTTTTTTCCAAGCAATTAGCATACAGTAGGTCATATATCTAAGGACATTGAGAGCATTTGAGATATTTGTTGTTTTCGATTTTCTTCAAACAACCAGCACATTTTAGTCTTTCAGTTGACATATCTAATTATTAAATGAAATCGCTTGTGTAGTGATATTTAAAATAAAGAAAAAGTTGCGGCCGGACCGGGGATCGAACTCTAAACCTTGGGTGCGAGGAACAAGTTTCACACCACTGGACCAGCCGATTGATAGTGGAATCGGTGAATTTCTGCTTCAGTTGTTTGTACTCGTTAAGTATGATTAATATTAAATTTGTAAAAGCGGGTGGTGTTGAAAAATGAATTCTGTAGACTCAAACTCTTTGCTTTGTTTTTACCAGTTGTTGAATAATAAGTATTGAAGTTTTGATCACTTTTAGGTCTTTTTACACTAAGTTTTTTTTGTCACTGTGTTGTGGTTGTGACGATATATTGCGAACAATTCTGTCGTTTTTGGTCCGAATTTCAGTGACTTGAGAAGCAGCCACATACAGCGTCGGTACTGTTGATCTCATTGCCGGAGTTGGGGTTCTGGACTTTTATAGCTGGACTTTTATAGACTCAAGAGAGTCTCCTCATCGTCACTCGACATCTCAACGCTATCTAAAGTTTTTTTTTGCGACAAAAAACGAAGCCAAAAATGACATCTCATCCTCATATTTTCATATTTTAATTTTCTTCGCCGCCTATCCACTTGTGCCTTTTTTCTTATTCATTGCTCTTCTATATACATCTCTCAGACTATTGCCATCTATGTTTACAGCTGCGGCTGTAAAAGAACGTAATATACATTTTAAGAAACAATACTAATATACGTTATCACGCATTCGAAATACACTAACCAAGAAATAACTTCGCGTTTGTAAAATTAGCAGAGGCTCTGACTTCATGTTTTTATTTAACATTTTATTTTAATATTTTTTTTTTGCTATAATGAAATTCGAGTTCCATTATGTGTGTTTACTGTTTAAGTCGCCCGCTAGTATTACTGATTGAGCGAGTCATAATAAGGAATTCACGTCACTCTCTAAGATGGTCTTCTTAGGTGAAAGATACACTGACTCTGATACAATAGCCTCATGTATTGTCATATCTAAGAGCTGGTAGCTTGTATGTATGTACTGTAGCTTGACTCCACATAGATCTGTAAGCTCTTTAAAGACATAAGATGTAAACTGGCGTCCTAGATCAGTGGTGAGAAAATCCACATTTCGTTGAATGTTCTTCTTGCTACCATCTTAGCTGATATGTCCTGCAACGGCTGGACTTCCGGTCATCTGGTGTATCTATCTATAGCTTTTAGACAGTATTTATAATCACGAGATGGTGATAGTGTTCCGACTATATGCACATGCCTAAAACGTGCTTCGGGCAATTTAAAATTTTCTAAAAGCGCAGATGTTTGTCGTTGTACTTTAGATTTTTCTCAGGCTTCCCATGTTTGTACCCAAGCACGGCAATCTTTTCTTAGCTTCCAATCCACTTCTATTTATATTTTCAATGTCACTAGCGAAATATTTCTTTTGAAAATAACTTATACATACATATAATATATCTAAAGCATCTTTCAATTCAATATTTGTTAAGTAAGCAGGAAAAACAGATTTAAGAGAGGAACGGAGCCATGTAATGTAGCGTTTTAAGATTTTTTTTTAATTTCTCAACATAATCTCCTCCAAGGCTCATACATTTCTCATAGCGGTGTTCTAGTCTAGTAATGCCATCCCTATAGACTGATTCGTCAAGCTCCTCAAAATACTCATTTACAGCTTCGAAAACTTGTTCATTGTCCGGAAATCTCTTACCGCCAAGTAATTTTTTGTGGTTAGGAAAGAGATAATAGTCGCTCAGGGCTAGGTCTGGAGAGTAGGGAGGGTGCGGCATCAATTCAAACTTCAGTTCGTTGATTTTAGCCATCGCAACGATTGACGTGTGCGCTGGTGTGTTATCGTGATGAAACAAGATGTTTTTCTACGCCAGATGAGGTCATTTAATTTTCATTTCGTGGCTCAAACGTTGTAATAAGTGTGTGTGTGTGTGTGTAATATTGACCAGTGATAGTTTTATCCTTTTCAAGGTAATCCATGTATATGGGTGTTTCTCTGCTATTTAGAAACTCATTACTACAAGACTGTCCTAACCAAAATTTATCAAATGTTGAGAATGTTTGTCAATACAAAGCCAGGTAATAGTATATCAAAAATATATATTCAAGAAACACACACATTTTTTTCTTTGTTTTTGAGGTATGAGCGCTTTTGTGCAAAATCGTGACAGGGTAATGTTGTGACTAACCAGGGGAATGTTTTTATGAACAAAAACTAATATTTTTGTATGTTTAAATAATCAAATCTTTATTTTTATTAGCACAAACAATGTGTAATTATTACTTAAATAATCAACGAGATCAAAACTAAATTCGCTTACAAAATAGAGACATTTTAATAACATTTGTTATAAACTGAACAAAATCAACTTCTTACTTTAACAGTCTTTCTAAAATACTGTTTGTTTGACATAAGTCAGCTCTTAGATTGTTAATGAAAATAAAAACAAAAATATTACCTCTGTTATCCTATTATTACAATAAACTTTTTGGCTTACAACTAAGAAACATTTATACTTTTTAGGTAACTTGAAATAATTATCATTAGTGGCACAGTATATCACTAAAAATCAATTTTATCTTTTAGAGAAACATCTCTTATTTCTCAAAGACATGTACTGATTTTCGAAAACTATAAAATAATCTACTTCCTTTAACAGTCACGTTCGGAACAGGCAACTTTTCCAATATTTGGTCAAAACCGACATCAAACATATCATTCTCATCTATTCTAAACGTGTAACCTTTGTTATCACAAATTTTCAGAAAAGTCACTGTTAGTTCGCCGTCCTCATCATCTACTTTATTAACAACAGCAGCATAACGATATTCCCTGTTCCCGACAGTAAACTTAACTAAAACATAATCACCACTGTTATAATAAGTTTGCTGAAGGCCGCTTGTACTAGGCTCCGCAGTATTCTCAAGATCAGTCTTAGTATTTTCAATCGGTCTTAAAAGGACAGTCTGTGTAATGCAGTCATTATTCCGTGGGATTTGAGCTAGCGGGATTTCGTCTTCGGAATCGGAGTCTGTGTAGAAATCCTCGACGTGAAGTTTTGCCACTTCATAGTTCATAACACCTAGGTTAAAATGCTGGCATTCTTCTTCACAAGGGCAGCTTAAGCTCTTCATTATAAGTTTGGCAGTGCCTTGTGGCAAACCCAAAGGACTGCGTGATATCTTTCCCTTAATCTGATGTATTTTAAGGGTGCCAACGACAGCATCAGCAGATCTTTTGCACGTGGCGCCAATACCATCTGCGGCACTCTTGCCATGGCCACTCTCTGAAAAATTCCAGGAGAACTTTTCTACATTTGGAACCTCCACATGTAGCCTCGAAGCCAGAATATGGAACATCGTTTTATTTCGATACTGTGTAACGGGTCCGTCGCTCACAAAATGAATGCCGGTAATATGCGGTGGTAAAGTTCTAAAAATAGGCTTCAAATGTTCCCAAATAGCAGCAGGTGAGTGTGTAGTATTTTGGGAAACAGTACAATAGGATTTTAAGGCATTTTTAGTGTAAACTACCACGGTATGAAGGCTAAGCTGAAGTCTAGAACCTCCAAAATGATAGGCCTGTATCTCCTCACTGTACTTGGTACAGTAATTTTCTGAAAAGTCCATGAGTATAACAACTTCATTATCATTAAGATTCTCTTTTAACTCTTTGATAGCTGTGTACTGATGAAATATGTTTCTTTCGTGGTTATAATACGCATCCAGTTCATCGTGTAGTTCTTGTATTAATTCACGAGGACTAACCGTAATTTTCTTTTTCACATATTTTGTTATAGATCGTACTTTATTTAACTTTGGATCTTTGTAATCTTGTTTCTCAGCTATCCATTTTTTATACACTATAGGCTTGCTATCATCAAACTCTTGGTAATCAGGATTCTTATTGAAACAATGCTGACATTCCCGAGATAAACATTGCTCATCATAACGATTACAGCAAGTTTTTTCAAGCAATTTATTATGATTATCGTAGCGCAAAATCTTCCGGCAGTACAAGGCAGATAATTTCATATCAATGTTTGCGTGTCTGATACAAAGGCATGTATCCCGTTCATTTATTTTGGGTGTTACCACCCAGAATGGACGCAAACGACAGAATGTCTGATAACTGATTAGACCTGAGTGATTACTCTTAAATTTCTGGTACAAATTGGTCAATGTATCTAGCAAGTATCTCTTTTGCTTTTTGACTCTGTTCTTGGTTACACATTCCCGTTTTCCTGCACCAATTCTGCTATTATCATCATTTTCATAAAAATTTTGTACTATCTTCATATGTTCGGATGCAATAAGTGGTAGTCGAGTCCGTGTTGTGGGTAATAATGATAGATTTTTAATTTTCTGAAGCCTCTTATAGGACACCACACTTTCTTGGCTCCTCCATAACTTATATTTTTCAACCAATTCACCTGATATAACTTTTCCGAAAATATGTTTCTCTTTTTGTGTTTGTAATCCTGCATAGTTTTCTTTTAATTGTTTATTTAATACTTCCCCAAAAAGTGCCTTCTTAACAACGTCTTTGCGAGTTGATGGAGTGACACACATTCGTGTTAGTTTTGTGTTAGGTGTCTCATCTTTTTTACCGTTTTTATTAAGTTTTTGTTCCAACCGTTGTAATCTTTTCTTATATTTTTCCAATTTCTGTTTGTATTGTTGAATCTTATTGTCTTTATCTTTCAATATCTTTGCACGTTGCTTTCTAGCCTGTTTCTTTCTTGTCTCAACTAATGCATTTTCTGACGACCTTAATGGCGCCGGACATTCTAATGTTGGGCCAGTAGTAGAATCTGGTGTATTTTCCCTGACAAAAGTATTAGTTATTTCTTTCATGGCCCTTTTTTTTTGACGATATTTAGTACAGCGCTCTTTCCAAGTCTTTTTAGCAGCCTTATGCTCGCGACGACTCATATCCTTAACCAATTTTATGCTCCCTTTTTCTTTCTTCTTTTGGTATTTCAGCCTTTCTTTTTCTTTCATTTCTTCTAGTTTTTGAGGGTCATTTTTAAGGCGTTGATATCTCAATTGTTCAGCTATTCGTTTTTGTTCTAATATTTCTTCTCTTGTTTTGGGTGGCTTCTTTTTAGGTGGCATTTTGAGCTATAACCTACGAAAAAGAACGATAATTATATTATTAACGCTGAGGAAGATTGATGCGCTATCTAGCAATGAAGTCTTTACAAAACTTAAAAAACATTCCCCTGAGGTAAGAAACACTCCCCTGTGCAAATAAATGACAGGGGGATGTTGACCAGGGGAATGTTTTTTTAACTTGAAAACCAAATAACACAAAATCATTAAAACATATCACATTTATAACACAGATGTGCAGACATGATTGCTAGTAAAATAATGTAAACAAATTATCTTATTTAAAACTCTTAAAATATGAAAACAAATGCTCACCAGTGGAGTGTTCGTACTAACGGCCGCGACGCGTGGTTCACATCCAAACACAGTGGTGCTACTGACAAAATGGCGGCTGTCTATTTACATTGACAACCGAACGAACTTCACACCGTTTGCGTTCCATTTCACCGTTGAAATGTTTTAGACTAATAACGTAAGTGATTTTCGCGCCGTTTTCAAATGTTACCAGGGTAGTGTTTTTAAAATTTGAGGACAAACTTCGTAAATTTTTTTTCAAATATTTTTTTATTATAGGCATGTAATTTGTAATTTAAAATATGCCACAGTCTTCTACAATTACATATTATTATCATTTAGTAACGAATTGACAAGTATTAAATATATAAATGGGTATCAATACTTTCAATTCTGGAAAAGGGACATACCAGGGGAGTGGTTTTTGAGATGTATAACATTTTTTTTCTCGAAAATTATTATATTAAATTATATAATGAGCAATGGTGAACCAAGAATACCACATTTATGTTCATATTAATCCTAAACATTTTTAAATTATAGTACTTATTCTAATAAAATTTGCTTGGGACAGTGATTTTCCATTTAGCAGAGAAATGCCCATATAATACCTCTCGCATCCCAAAAAATAGTAGCCATAACCTTGTTCGCCGAAAAAATTGTTTTTGCCTTCTTTGGAGTTGGTTCCCCTGGTCCAATCCACTGTTTAGACTGTTCTTTGGTTTCAGGAGTGTAGTGGTGCACCCAAGTTACGTCAACGGTTACGAATTGCCGCAAAAATCCGCTTGGATTACGCTTATACAAATAAAAGTATTTAATGACAGCACAAAGTTCAATTCAAGTTTCCATTTTTACGAAAATCACAGAGGCGTCTTGTTCAGCGTGCTTTTAAACCTAACTGTCAGAGTTTCAGAACAGAGGCCACAGTATTTTGTCATTTTCTTTAATGCTGCTGAGTATTCCGCTATAGATTCGTTACATCCTTGTACTCGCTGCCTAAATTTGAAACGCTCCGCGAGTACACTCGGTTTCGGTTGCAAATGGCGTCGCATTATATCTACTTAATCATCGTAGGTCTTCGCTGACGATTTCTCCGGTGTACAAATATTCACCATGAGTTCATAGGCGTCACTACCAATGACTGTTATTAATGTCGCTATTCGCATTGCCGGTTTAACATCATTGGCGATGAAATATTGTTCCAAACGGTCAATGAACAAATTCCAATCGTCTTTGTGAAGGTCAAACGGTTCTATCCACTGCTAACACTAATACGCGTGTGTGTCCTTTTAGCGACTTGTCGCCACTGACAAATATGTAAATATTATATACTACAGAACTAGAATAATAACATAGGAAATTAGGAGCACAATAAAATAAGTCCACTCAATCTAATCATATATCACAGTTTTACATATACAGCCACGGGCAAAAGTATTAGGCACCCTACAGTAAGACAAGTTTTAGGGTGTTTTAGCATAGCGAGTGTAAATAAAACTGCATTTATGATTACAATGGTTTATTTTAAGAAAATAATTAATATTTTGTAGGTCCACCTTTTGACTTAATAACCGCAGCCACTCTTTTTGGCATTGACTCTACCAGCCTGAAACATTCTTCTCTTGATATATTTTTCCATTCCTGCTGTAACGCGGCCAACAGAGCTTGTTTATTGCTAATCGAGTGCCTACGGATATTTTTCTTTAAAATGGACCAAATATGCTCAATCGGGTTGAGGTCTGGTGATTGTGGTGGCCAGTCCAAAAGATCAATATGATTTTCAGCAAACCACTTCATGGTATGTGCGGACTTGTGGCAAGTGGCGTTGTCTTGCTGAAATTTCAGGCCATCGGTGTTTGTATCACCGAAAATTTGCGTTATCGACGTTGCTAGTGCTGTTTCCAGAACTTCAGTGTATTTAACACTATTCATTCGTCCCTCACACAACACCATTTCGCCCACTCCGTCGGCAGCCATGCAGCCCCAGATCATTATTGAGCCTCCACCATGCTTAACAGTGGGAACCACACATTCTGGGTTGTATTCTTCGCCAACCCTTCGCCTAACATAAGTCACACCGGGTGTTCCAAACACCTATGCCAAACGAAAAAAAAACATTTATTTTTTTGCAGTACGTTATTTTAAAAACATTTATATGTTTTAATATTGTACATAAAATAAATAACAATACCTCAAAGTTAGATTCGTCTGACCACAGTATGTTGGACCAATCTTCCACTGACCAATCTCTATGTTTGAGAGCCCACTCCAACCGATTTTTCTTATTGTGTTCTGACAGCCACGGCTTCTTCCTTGCTTTACATCCTTTTAATCCAGCTTTAAGAAGTCTTCTTCTCACAGTATAAACACTCACTGAGCTGCCTTTTGCCTCCGATAATGCTGCAGCGAGCTCTAAAGCAGTTTTTTTCCTGTTTTGTAGAGACTGCCTAATCAACAATCGATCTTCCCGTTCAGTAGTAACTTTTCTTCTGCCTGTTCTTGGTCTATTTTCATGGGTGCCAGTCTCTTTGAAGCGATTTATAGCATATTGAACTGCACATCGCGAGCACTTCACTTCTCGGGCTATTTTAACCTGAGACATGCCTTGTTCATGTAAAATCTTAATTCTTAGACGCTGTTCAGCACTAAGTTCAGATTTTTTCGGCATGATTAACACGTCAAATGTTAGTCTTTAGAATTGTGATAGGAATAGTTGCGTAGAAGACGTGTATGTTCACTGCAAGCACTGATAACACACTATAACCCGAAACGCAAAAAAAGCAAATTCGAAGAAACACCGCTTAGGAGCACACCTGGATGTCATAAATATTTCCTTTTATCTTAATTTGGTTAAAAATTGCCGCTAATACAATAGCTAAACCATAAAACACACACTTGACCGCAATATAATGAGATAGTGACTAACAATAGGGGTGCCTAATACTTTTGCACGCAGCTGTATATCTACGTTTCCCAAAGTGAACAATAACGCCCTCTTGTGGGGACTGCAGACTTAAATACGCAGTAATAGACTCAAAAAAAAATGCGGCACCTTTTAAAGACCGGTGATGATTTGTAATAACATATATCCAGTATAAGTCAAATTGATGTTTCAGTAGCTCAAAGTAAACCTGGTAATACTTGATGGACACTAGAAGTTCGGGAGCCACTGTCCACTAGTATAATTGCGGCTTTACAATCACCGAGTCATTCTCCTCTTCATATAATTCTATGTTTCATCAATACCTGGTACATTGTTAGTTTTCATCTAACACTGATGATCAGCCATCATCTCCTGATGGATGGATCACAAGTACAGTCTAATAACACCATCTGTAATACATAATACAATATTGTTCTTATATAAAGACATACTTCAAGTATTGTTCGATAGAAGTATTCGTAAGTAAATCAGAACGCTATAACGTATAATATATATAGGGTGTCTCACGGAAAATTTCGAATTTAAAAAGGCTATAAAAAAAGAACGACTCGATAGATTTCAATGATCAAACATTTATTTGAAAGCATAATTCATGACATTATTTGTGAAAAATTATCTCGGTCAAATGTCCACCACAGCTTACTTGGCAGTACCCTATTCGATCAGTCCAATTTTTCAGTACATTTTCAATTGTTTCCGGCCTTATGGCAGCAATGGCAACTTCAATTTCATGTTTCAAGTCATCAATCGTGCTTGGCTTGTTGGCGTAACAAACGTCTTTGACCGCTCCCCAAAGGTAATAATCCAATGGTGTTAAATCGCAGCTTCTTGGAGGCCAATTCACATCACCATTTTTGCTGATTATGCGATTTTCGAAGATTGGGCGCAAAACATCGACCGTAGCATGGGCTGTATGGCACGTAGCCCCGTCCTGTTGAAACCAAATATCGTCCAAATCATACTCTTCCATTTGACCGAAAAACCAATCAGTTAACATAGCGCGGTAGCGCTCGCCGTTGACGGTTACGGCGGCTCCTTCATCATTTTCAAAAAAAAATGGGCCGATGATGCCGCCGGACCAAAATCCGCACCAAACAGTCACTCGTTGTGGATGTATCGGTTTCTCCTCAACGACGTGCGGGTTTTCTGTGCCCCATATACGGCAGTTTTGTTTATTTACATAACCGCCGAGGTGAAAATGAGCCTCGTCGGAAAAGATGATTTTTCGATAAAACTCACCATCTTCGGCCAAACGATCTTCCGCCCAATTTGCGAACCGTAGACGTTTCGGATGATCAATTGGCTTCAGCTGTTGGGCCAACTGAACTTTATATGGCTTCAGGGCAAGATCTTTGCGCAAAATTCGGTGCGTAGTTGACCGAGAAAGGTGCAACTCTTGCGCTCGATGACGAATCGATGTGGATGGCCGTTCACGAACACTTTGTTCCACCGCAGCGATGTTTTCGGTTGACCTTGCTGGAAATGGACGTTTACGTGTTGTTTTATCCAACAGTGATCCAGTTTCGCGCACACGATTCACAAATTGCCGCACATATGCCTCCGATGGCAAATCTTTTTTGGCAAATATTTTTTTCAAATTTCGCACAGTTTGCGTTGGCGATTCACCACTTTGGAAATAATTTTTTAATATTTCCCAGCTTTCCTCAAGCGAATAGCGACCCATTTCGTAAATGTCAGACTTATTACTAAATATGTGACACTTCTCCGATGACAGTTGACGTCTCCAATGTCAAATTATCGTTAGTTCAAATTCGAAACGCTAGATGGGACACCCGTTACATGTGTTTGAAATAGTCAAATAGTTCATTGGGTCTCTTATAGGCTGCAAGTACTAAGTCATCTTTTAAAATACGCTACATGGTTCTAGGTGCTAACTTCATCTCCCGAGATAAAATCTTTTGTAAGCAGCTACCATTACAGAAGTCGAGGCCTTTGTGTAGTTCATTACCCTCTCAGGATACTTTGTTCCTCGTTTTGTTAATATTTTCTTGCGACCTGGGTCGTCCGTTAAATTGGTTTTATCATAATTGACAATATTGCAAGGTTCAATATTTGTTAACGAACTTTCTGGCTCTCGAAAATAGGCTCTTATTGTGTCCGGTGAGATTGCTGTCCTGTTTGTTTTAATATTCTGGCAATTACGTTGAGATATTTTGTCTTTATGCCTTTTAACCCCTTGCTGCATGAATTATGAAAGAGATGAAATAATTTTTTTTTTGGCAAAAATGTGTTTATTGTAGCTTAATTAGTGAGATCAAATCAACAAAAAAAAATATTAGCTTATATGTATTATCCCACATTCTAGTTTTTTCCATATATTCGTCAAAAAAAGTTTGTTTAAATTCTCTTTTTACCGTTTGCAAAGATGTTCCCGGCCGAGGTGGTTCGTCGGTACTCTTCTTAGCAGCGTCTTCTTTCAAAAACAAATCATATTCTTCGGAATGTTTTCGTTGTAAATGATTTTTTAAAGAAGTCGTGCCTTTACCCTTACGGGAATATTTTCCATCACAAATTTTGCACTTCGCACATTCATCATTTACTAACACGAAATATTTCCAAATTGCACTGGAAAACTTCTTAGTAGACATTATTTATAATTTGTATCAAAATAATACACAACCGTTATGAACGCGCCACAATGTCACACTAAACCGTAACCAAAAGAATAAATACTATCCGCGCAATGCAAGTCAAAACATGTCCTGCGTGCGGCAAGCGTACCGTCAACTATCATTTCAAGGTCGCGAGCGCTGACACTAATCGAATAAGAAAATAAAGATCCGTATCCGTATCCGTATCCGCGGATCTTGACACTAAATATCCGTGTTCAGATCCGTATTCGCGGATATACATTTTTAGCGATCCGGCACATCACTAATATATATACAGGCTAAGTATAATTGCGGCTTTACAATCACTAAGTCATTCTCCTCTTCATATAATTCTATGTTTCATCAATACCTGGTACATTGTTAGTTTTCATCTAACACTGATGATCAGCCATCATCTCCTGATGGATGGATCACGAGTACAGTCTAATAACACCATCTGTAATACATAATACAATATTGTTCTTATATAAAGACATACTTCAAGTATTGTTCGATAAAAGTATTCGTAAGAAAATCAGAAAGCTATAACGTATAATATATAATAGTCAAATAGTTCAGTGGGTCTCTTATAGGCTGCAAGTTCTAAGTCATCTTTTAAAATACGCTACATGGTTCTAGGTGCGACCTTCATCTCCCGAGATAAAATCTTTTGTTAGCAGCTACCATTACAGAAGTCGAGGCCTTTGTGTGGTTCATTACCCTCTCAGAATACTTTGTTCCTCGTTTTGTTAATATTTTCTTGCGACCTGGGTCGTCCGTTAAATTAGTTTTATCATAATTGACAATATTACAAGGTTCAATATTTGTTAACGAACTTTCTGGCTCTCGAAAATAGGCTCTTATTGTGTCCGGTGAGATTGCTGCCCTGTTTGTTTTAATATTCTGGCAATTACGTTGAGATATTTTGTCTTTATGCCTTTTAACCCCTTGCTGCATGAATTATGAAAGAGATGAAATAATTTTTTTTTTTGGCAAAAATGTGTTTATTGTAGCTTAATTAGTGAGATCAAATCAACAAAAAAAAATATTAGCTTATAATTCAAAAGTTAGTAATCAACGCCATATGTGGCTTCGTATGCATTCTAGCCATATACGCTTCGGTCAAATATGGCTTCGTATGCATTTACGTGTAAAGTATTTTATTCCTCGTGAAATTCTTTGTAACAGTTGCGTTTGTCATTATAGCACAAATAAACATTAAATTTTTCACATAATGTAAAAGAACGAAATTTAGAACAATTTTGGCATATTTGTCGGGCATTCTTCTTCCAAATCGGAAAATGGCTAATCCCATCGGTACGCACGGACGCCAAAGGCAAGTCTTGATGCCTAGCTGGCGTTTTTCCTGTCTTTTTTGCGGGAACTGGAGATTCAGGAATACGGGAGGGAGTGCCACCCCGGCTGGATGTCGGAGTTCCAACAATGCTCGATGGACGACCACGTTTCTTGGTCATAACTGCTTTTCCTGCTTTACGCAAATGTTCGGAAACGGCCAGTTTGAAATCATAAAGTGGCATGTATGAGTCAGCATTGATTCGGCGCCATAACAACCAAGCATTGACAAGTGTCATGTCCACCATGTGAAAAAAAATCCTCTTGTACCATTGACGAGACCGCAAATGGATTCTATAATAACCCAGCATAGAATCTAGTTAATCCACTCCTCCCATATGCCGGTTATAAACATCTACAGCTTGGGGTGAAGGTATGTAAACATATTCTTTATCTTGGCGAACGTAACGCCGCTTTGTTGTTGTGGGTTCACTTCCAACGTAGGCTGAAAGAAGATTCACATTCTTGTTATCGAACCAAGAAACTAAGCTCAACTTCACTTTATCTATGACTGCTACTTTTTCTGCCATGCTACCGCGTCCTCGCTTTTTTAGTTCCTTTTCAGAAGACATGTTGGAGTTTGGAACACGATTGAGTCGCACGGTTCCCAACGGAAGTAGACCTTTTTTGTAAAGATATACTTGAAGATTTGGGCTATTGAACCAGTTGTCGAAACAAATTTTGTAATTTTGATGTTGTGGAACTGTAGATGTCAATCGTGTGACAATATTTGAACTTACGCCAAGATCTGGCGCATCTGAAGGGTAGGAATTACTTTGGTCCCCAGCAAATATATCAAAATCATAGCTAAAACCGCTAACGCCACTCAGGACTTGGTTTTTGTAACCCCATTTGTGAGGTTTAGCAGGGTTATACTGTTTTAATTCGTGACGGCATTTGGTAGGGATAATTTGTTCATCTACGGCTAAAAACTCTTCTTTAGGGACTAGCATCAAACGTTCACGAATCATATTCAATAAAGGCCGAATTTTAAATAATTTGTCATGTCGCTCTCACAGTCCACTCTGCTAATCAGAGAAGTACCAGGAGCGCCTCCAGGGTATATTCCACGCCAAAATGGCATCTAATAAAGACAACAAATAACAACAAAACATACGTAAAACCAAGGACAACCCTAACAAGAACCTGACTCTCAATGTATTGACCAACATCAGTTGAGAACCGACGAACTTACATCGCCCACCGTAAAACGCCAAGGAATCGCTCTCACCGTCCACTCTGCTAATCAGAGAAGTACAAGGAACGATCCCAGGGTTTACTACCTCGCCGCTCTTCGTCTGGCCCCTCACCCCAGACCTCACCGGTTTGGTAAAACCTACCGGTATAGCCCTGGGGATCATTGGAGCACGCAAGCCCCCCCACCACGACAAGGTGGCGGCCCCCGGGGGGGGGGGGATTCAGTGAGCAGCTACTAACTATAGCTGGGTCTCCTCTAACCTCACTTAACAAGGACTGCGGATTTACTCAATAGATACCCAAAGCACCCTTGTCTCAAAAGTATACCTTCAGAAAAAGGATTTGAAATCAGAATTCCGAAGAAAGAAGGCAACTTTAATTGTGTTTAACGTCTATTATAGCCGGACGGGTTAGTTTGTTTTCCTTCAATTCACACCCTGATACTCAGGTTCAGATGTCCATCAGTTATTTGGCAATAAAGCCAATAAGCGTAATTACGCGCGAGCTCTGCTGTATTATTTGGACAGATGAAATTGTATATTCCAAGTTTTATAGTATGTGATCCAACATGCGTTTTCGCCAGCTCTAAAGCACAAGTAATGTTAGTGGTAATATGTGCAATCATCCCTTGGTGTTCAACTTCGTAGATCACAATATCATCAGTCTTCCTACGTTTCGATGTTATATATTGTTATCAATTAATACTTCCGGTCCTACATATACGGCTGGTTCGGGTACATCGTGATGATTATTTAAAAGTATAGATTAAAACTTCTGTTCAACAATTTAATTAGTAATTTAATAATCAAATAAATAGTTGATTCATATTTGTTTATACTTGGAACATTTTATTATATGTTATTATATTTATTAATGGCGCCTTCAGCTTGTTAGCTTCCGGCGCATTTAACAAATAGTGCTTATTGTTATTTATATTCTCTCAAATTATGTCGATTAATCAATGCTATAATAATTTTGTTTTATGTACAATGCAAGAATTAAGCTACTAGAACCTTATTTTACTGATCTGATTAGATTATCAACTTCCGGTGTAATATATCAACTTTTAATATTTAATGTTACATAATCCTGTATTATTAAATAATATTTGTCCATAAATAATCATTAGAATAATTAAGATAAACAATGTTTAATATTATCTCTTAAGTTTACAAATTTAATATTAAATTAAGTCAAGATATTGAATATAATATCGCTATACCGCCATATTGAATATATCGGCGATTAGTATTCTAACCGTTGTAACGTGCATTAAAAGTGATCCTTTATATAACGTATCGTCATTTACGCCGCCACCCTGAGAACCCACCTTTTATAATATTGAAGACGAAATTCTCCAGCAGCAGATCGTTCAGCTCGTGGTAGAGTAAATCTTGAAATTCTCTGTTTTCTAACAGTTGATGGGGAAGTCACAACAGATTCATCATTTCTAGTGGAATTCAATTTGTGCGGCAATTCCTCTGGTGGGCCAGGATCATCTATTGGACTCGTACATAACGCAAGTGCTAACGCTACTCGCTGTTCACAGTTTAGTGATGCCTGACGCAAAGCTGGCTGTTGAGTTTGTATACTAATGTCCGTTGATCCATCATATGTATAATACGGCGGAATCTAAACTAACGTTTTGGCCCATTTCGACAATTTTAGCAACATCAGTTCCATCAGGAGGATTAGTTTCTACAATTTCCATAACTGGATCTTCCATCAATGTGACTGTTTCACACTCTCTATTTTGCATTCCATTTTGAGGAGTAGTTATCATTATAATATCAACATGTTGATCAATGTCATGTGATAATCCTGTAGCGATATTAATAAAGTATGATCCATGAATCTGGTAATCTATTATCTGTCTATCTTCTAAAGTTATTTGTTCAACATCAAATTTTCTAGGAATTAAAAATTCAAAATCGAAATTGAGTGAAGCTATGCATTTCGTAACATTATAGTATAACTGTGGCATATGGCAGCCGAATTGTTGTTTAACTAAAGAATTTAATAATTGCCGTTCTTCAATCGGCGTCTCTTCAAAGATATCGCAAATCTTAACAGGATCATGTTTGTTAGCATGGAAGGCAGAGAGCACATCTGAAATAGGCATTAAGCCGGTAGGATTTAAGAAAGTGGTTGGACTTTCCGGGACTGAAATCAGCACCCCTGAAAAATCGCTGGTAGGTTCATACCTGCAATATAATTTGTCGAGCATTCCATATTTCGTTCCAATCTTGTGAAAACCCTGATCATCCTTTTGAAGAATCACTCCGACTATATTACGTAGATTTGCTTTTGCTCTGTCGACATCTGGGATTTGTATAATTACATTATCGCCGATTTCTACTGGAACGTGTATTTTATCTGAAGCTAATGTCATTCTCCTGTCCTGTTTTTTTAAGTTTTGATGTGCCGCTTCTCTGGATGTCATTATTTGTTGATTCACATTTGTAATAACTTCGATGTCTTTGTCATTTGGTGGTATTATTAGAGGCTCTTCAGCCGTAGATGCTCCAGCTTCAATATCATATTGACTGGCTTCTACTTCGACTGGTGATTCTTCACTTGTTTTGGATGAACTCTCTGCGGCTTGTTTGGCTCCAGTTATAATCTGATGCTCTCCACTACAACTAGCTACAGGCTCAGTTTCTGCAGTATCTGTACTATCCGTCATATTTATTTTATTTAACGCATTTTCTAGATCATCTTCATCTCGTATATCCTCAATAACATCTCGAGGCAAAGGCGAAGTCATAAGCCTTACTCGCGGTTCTATACCAAACATTGCTTTGTATGGTGATTAGTGATGTTCCGGATATCCGTATCCGTATTTCGCGGATATCCGAGGTAAAAAAGAAATCCGTATCCGTATCTGTGTCCGTTACTTTTCGAGCGGATATTTTACGGATCATCATCATCATCAGGTCTGTTTTTTGTCTTCGGATCGAATTTTACGGATCTTTTCAGGTGATTAGGTAGAATTAAAAAACTAATAAATTCCATTCACACTATTTTTATTTAATTAAATCAAATATTTGGCACCTTTATATTGCAAACATTGAGATAGATAGATCTTTATAATGAAAGAGCAAATTAACATCACTTTTATGATAATGAAATAACTAAAATATAAGTAATTTTTTCTTATATACTTTTAATGATATCAAGTTTTAACGTCATTTTATGACAATGAAAAAACTAAAATTGAAATCTACTCTTTCATACAATTACGGGAATATTATAGCAAGCTATATATAACATCATGGTCACTTTTATGTCAATGAAAAAAGAAACTAAAACGTAAACCTCTTTTTTATAATTATGAATCAATACAGTAGAAAGTTATAAAATCACTTTGAGATAATGAGGAAACCGAAAATATATTGTAATTAAATGATAATTCTAAATGAATACTGCGCGTCACATAAAATTTAAATATTAGTTTACACGAGTAATGACAAAATGTCAGGCAAAATTAGAAGAGCTCAAAAAAATCATTAATCATAATTGAAATTAAGCAATGGTAAATTGTATTTCAATAAAAGCAACTTCGCAGCTTTGTCCCCCAAAAGTCTGTTACGATGAGGATCATAAACAACTCCTGCTGCACTGAAAAATTGTTCACTTGGAACGCTTGTTGCAGGTGATGATAAATATGTGCGAGCAATGTGACTGAGACGTCCAAACCTTTTACTGTTAATCTTCCAATACTTTAACTGGTCTTGATCTCTTGGTAATCTTTTTTCTGACATATATTCTGTGAGCAAGTTAGCTTTTGTATCTGACATTTGATTTTCGGATTGCTCATCATCATCATCACTTTCTAACATTAGCAATAGATACCTCTAAATCTAAACTCTGGGAATGTTCTTTTCTAATAGTAGGTTTAACCCTAGTACTTGTTGTAGCTGAGAGATTATCTTCAGTTTCTAAATCTGCACATAATTTTTCTTTTATTTGTTTTATGAGAATATCACTGAAGAATTTACTTTTGTACCGTGGGTCTAAAAATGTTGATATTTGAAACAAAATATTTTTATCAATTTCAGAAAAACGATAATTTAATTCATTCTTCAAAGCAGATATAAAATCCACAACAGAGGGTACACTGATATTGAGACTTTCCTGGATCTCATCATAGATTTTATTCAATGCTCGTGTTAGAGGAATAACGTCGGATATACATGAGTTCTGAGAGCTCAATGTTTTGGTTACGTCGTCTAGAGGCTTCAGCACTTTTACTAAGTCTTGAATTAAAGTCCAGTCATCAGCATTAAATTGTTCTATTTTGTTATTCGAAGCATAAAGCGACAGGGAATCTTTGATGCAATCAAGTCTTTCTAACATGTGATAGCTGGAATTTCAGCGTGTCGGTGAGTCTTGCAAAACTTTTAAAACTTTTTGATTGAGTCGAACCTGTATTTTTTTCTAATTCTTGCTTTGCCATTGTGGAATGGTTAAAATGTCCTGCAATTTTCCTACATTTTCCGAGTAGCACGGAGATTGTATCAACGTTTTTGATAGCCTCTTTAACCACCAAATGTAACTGATGTGCTGTACAGTCGACATTATGTATTTCAGACAAAGAACAGGCGCGTTTCATATTGGATCCCCCATCTCGTACCATACAGTGCACATTTTGTTTCTGAATTCCCCATTCTTTTAACATACCTTGAAATACTACTGAAATATAATCTCCGGTGTGACGTTCTTCAAGAACTTCTGCTTTCAAAACGATATTTTTTCGTTGAAAGTCTGCGGTAATGCCATGACATGTTAAAGATAATAATGACACTCCTGATGACGAATCTGACCAGATATCTGCTGTGAAGGAAACTTTATCAAAATCTTGTTGTAACATGTTTTTTATTTTTGATGACACTTTTTCGAAAAGCTCGCTGCAAACTAGTTCCGTAAAATATTTTCTGCCTTTGAGAACATAGTTTGGAACAATATGATCTATCAATCGTCGAAACCCTAATTGTTCTACATGTTGAAAGGGCAAATCTGATAAAGCCAACATTTCAGCAATCAAATAGTCGATTTTGATTGACTTGGGGTTTGTATTATCCCACATTCTAGTTTTTTCCATATATTCGTCAAGAAAAGTTTGTTTAAATTCTCTTTTTACCGTTTGCAAAGATGTTCCCGGCCGTGGTGGTTCGTCGGTACTCTTCTTAGCAGCGTCTTCTTTCAAAAACAAATCATATTCTTCGGAATGTTTTCGTTGTAAATGATTTTTTAAAGAAGTCGTGCCTTTACCCTTACGGGAATATTTTCCATCACAAATTTTGCACTTCGCACATTCATCATTTACTAACACGAAATATTTCCAAATTGCACTGGAAAACTTCTTAGTAGACATTATTTATAATTTGTATCAAAATAATACACAACCGTTATGAACGCGCCACAATGTCACACTAAACCGTAACCAAAACAATAAATACTATCCGCGCAATGCAAGTCGAAACATGTCCTGCGTGCCGTCGCGGCAAGCGTACCGTCGACTATCATTTCAAGGTCGCGAGCGCTGACACTAATCGAATAAGAAAATAAAGATCCGTATCCGCGGATCTTGACACTAAATATCCGTGTTCAGATCCGTATTCGCGGATATACATTTTTAGCGATCCGGCACATCACTAGTACAAATATTCACCATGAGTTCATAGGCGTCACTACCAATGACTGTTATTAATGTCGCTATTCGCATTGCCGGTTTAACATCATTGACGATAATATTGTTCCAAACGGTCAAAAAGAACGTTTGGTTTGGTTTGGTTGAAAAGTATACAGTAGAGAAGAGAAAGAATGTGTGTATTCCTGCGAAGGCGGATCGGGAGCCACTCGAGCTTTATTTTTACATATTGCTTTGAACACCTACAATTTAAATATTTGGCTCTTAGTGTGCTAAATCAAAAGTTACACCGCTGTAATAAGTGGACAAGTTTCCTTCTCCGGTAGAATTTGAATTTTGAGCCTCAGGATCGAGAATGGACTGGTGGATCAGGTGAAAACTCATTTATTTCTGTAGGTGCATTATGATAGTAGTAGACTCTGGATGGCTCTGGGAGAGGTCGGTTACTTGGCGGAATTACCGTTTGAGAAACTATTCTAAGCGGTGTCTTTACTAAACGTTCCATTTTAATGTTACGAATTTCAGCCTGAGAAATAGCCATATGTAAATCTAATTTAATTTTTGTTTGGTCTAATTTCGGTAGCGCTTTGACTGCTTTGCTCATACTTAAGAAAAACATGTCTGTTTCATCAAGTCCAGTTTTTCCAAAATTAGTCTTAGTGTTCCTCATTTCCATGTATGGACGTAAAAAACCCATTTGATCTTCGTATTTCCATGGATCAATCTTGCGTTGCCGCTTGCCCAGATTTAGTTTTTCGTCGTTTTAGTGCACTACAGTATGCGTTGCGTAATTTAGACCAATTATCTTTATCTTTATATTTCCTCCCACGCCAAATTTCTTTTTAATTGGTCTTTATAGTCTTTGCGACACGCTGGGCTAAGTATAATTGCGGCTTTACAATCACCGAGTCATTCTCCTCTTCATATAATTCTATGTTTCATCAATACCTGGTACATTGTTAGTTTTCATCTAACACTGATGATCAGCCATCATCTCCTGATGGATGGATCACAAGTACAGTCTAATAACACCATCTGTAATACATAATACAATATTGTTCTTATATAAAGACATACTTCAAGTATTGTTCGATAAAAGTATTCGTAAGTAAATCAGAACGCTATAACGTATAATATATACATGTGTTTGAAATAGTCAAATAGTTCAGTGGGTCTCTTATAGGCTGCAAGTACTAAGTCATCTTTTAAAATACGCTACATGGTTCTAGGTGCTAACTTCATCTCCCGAGATAAAATCTTTTGTAAGCAGCTACCATTACAGAAGTCGAGGCCTTTGTGTGGTTCATTACCCTCTCAGAATACTTTGTTCCTCGTTTTGTTAATATTTTCTTGCGACCTGGGTCGTCCGTTAAATTAGTTTTATCATAATTGACAATATTACAAGGTTCAATATTTGTTAACGAACTTTCTGGCTCTCGAAAATAGGCTCTTATTGTGTCCGGTGGGATTGCTGTCCTGTTTGTTTTAATATTCTGGCAATTACGTTGAGATATTTTGTCTTTATGCCTTTTAAGAAAACTAAAAACAAAATCAGATCCCGGCAGATTATTTTGAAATTTTAATGTATGTTTATAAACACGAGGCGTTTTGTACCTACAAAAAAAAGAAAACTTAAGAAAGTTATTAATTTTTTATCTACAGTAAGCTGGGTGGTAGCCCTAATAAGACCTGTATACGTATCTATTAACCTCAAATATAGCTAAACTCTTCATGCTGTAAAACTTTTATCCGTAGTAAGTGGGATGGAAATAATAGGCTTTGGGAATAAAAGATTATTTTTATTTCTTACTTTCAACTTGTATACCTTACTCAACGCTTACACCTTTTTTAACAGAATTCGCCATTACAGTTTTGCCGCCATATATATTTTGCAACAATCAATCAGACGCTCTTAAAGACTTACGTTCCTTTACATGCACAAAATTTTAAATATTATTTAATATAAAATTTAAATCCTACGTATATAAAATATTTTACAGTAATACACTAGAAATTACTTTATATAACTTATCACACAATATTTGATACTTCCTAAAGAAAATCGACAACTTTTAACGCACACAAATAGTCACTACAGAACGGTTGGTGTTTATTTATTTATTTATTAAGATCCTCCAGGAGTAAATACATCAACACAATATTAGTAACAATAACAACATATAGCTTAAAACTAAATGCATTACCTTTAAAGGAGAATACCTCATGCAGTGATAGTGGATATAAAAGGAGCTTACACAATAAAAATATGTATGTACATTTACAAATTTAAACATATTATGCTAATTGAAAAGTTACAAAAAAACTTAATATACTTAATAAAATAATTTGCAAAAAAAGAGTTAAAAAAAAAGATAACGAAACAATAACAATCAATTGGCTAATAATTCTAACATATTCTTACGGAACTTAAATAAAGACTCACCAAATGGATTTAGGGAAGCACTGTGCTCGTTTAAGATTTTACAAAAACGTGCCACAGGTGAGTTTAAATGTTTATTATTCACTTTTGTCTATAAAATAAAACAAATAATTTAAATAGATTATTTTATTCCTCTTCAATAATAATTAAAATATCGTCTAGAAACTGTGCCTGGGGTACAATATTTGCCTTTGCCTTTTACCTTGCCGAGTTAAGGTACAATATAATTGATATCGTATAACATACATATATATGTATGAGCACAGCAGCTAACTGTCTTTCTACCTACAATACAGCTGCAAAAATTCTGTACGATAGCTTTGTTCCTCTACGAGAGCTGTCGAATAAAATATAAATATAATGTTTTCCGACTTATATGTCGGGAAGTTTGAGGTTTTTTTTTATTTGGTAACAACTCCCTCTGACATGGTCAGAGGCCTTGTTTACTGTTACTCTTTGTCACAAGTTCTATCACTCATTAGAGCCTTCCATAATTGAATTAAATCTAAGAGATAAAATAATATTACAATAATAATAATTAAAAATTTTGATACAATTGAGCTAAAATTAAATTGGAATAATAATGATAATTAATTAACATTAATTAAAATAGATTATAACATGAAACATTGTTAAATTAAAATTATAATAAATTTCAATTCATGTGGAATAATTATAATTGTACATTACAATTGAATAAAGTGGTGCAATCACTTTATTCAATTGTATGATGATGATGATGATTGAATAAAGTGGTGCAATCAACCTCTTGCAATCTTTCAGTCTCTATTTTGACGATCTTCATGCAGAATCGCTTTAGATACGGCGTAGAGTGCTTATGGGCAATTAATTTTGCTATCGTTGTTTCCGTCAATTTAATTCCAGTACTTATTTCGCGATCATGCACCGGACACTCGAACAAGAGATGTTGCACTGTTTCCGCTACCTTAAGATCGCACACACATGACGGACTGTCTTTCAATTTGAACCTTTGAACGTATGCCGCGAATCTTCCGTGATCCGTCAACACTTGCGCCCACCCAGAAGAATTTTTTTTATGCCTATCCCTCTAACTTGGTCAGAGTCTTTTGCTGCTATCTACATTCATACTAATTCTCGCTACTGTAAGGGCCTATCATGCTGCATTCTATTTCTTTTATACGTCTCATTCATGCCTGGGATCTATCTAACCGTGTGTTACATTTCTATTTTATTTTAAGACTAAAGGGTGCTGTTCCACTTAATAACATCGGAGTCACTTTTTTATTTCGGTACATTTTTTGTTCCTATTCCACTTATAACAATTATTTAAAATTCTTTATTCTTACTACTAAACATTTTCCTTTACTAATATAATTACTATCATTATTAACATCATTATTATCTATACTACATATTATTTATTTATACTCTCTTATCACCCGCTGTCACACTCGCGTATGTGGTCCCCTCTAGCGTTCCCTTGTGTCCTTCTATTGCTGTTCTTAGTTGATCCATCTTCCTATTGTTTTCTTCTATCAGTATAGCCTGCTGATTCATTTTCTCCAACAGCTCTGCGTTTGGGCTATTTTGCGGAGGCTGAGGACTGGGCAGGGGGAGGGGTGTATAGTGTCCCTCCCATCCCTTTCCTGTATTTTTTCCCCTTCGTCACTGCTTAGTAGGACCTCCAGCTCAGTATTCATATTTAGCACTATCTGGTAGAGTCCCTCAATGGCCTTTGTAACCCCCTCCCTTATTTCTGTCTTGAGATTACGAGAGACAGCTAGGTGGGCCTTTGCTGTCTCATAGTACATTTTCGCCTCTCCTGCCGGGGCAGTATACTCTTTTTTTCTTTAGGAATAGTCTTCTTCGGTTGAGGGGAGTGTCTTAACACCATGATCGGAGGGACGCGTCTATTTGTAAATAAGTCTATTCTTAAAACTAGTCTCTATATAATACTATGTGGTTCCCAAGTGCATTTCCTGCTAGTGCTATAGTAACTAATGTTCCCCTCTCTGCGGAAGTCATGGCACTCACTTGTTTCTGTCCTCGTCGAGCAATGACGCGGTCCGGTTTCTGAACAGTCGTGATGCCCGATTCGTCAACGTTCCATATATCCTTTGCTTGCAACTTGTATTTGTCAACTACTGAGGTATAATTTTGGAAAAAAAGTTGCACGTTGGTTCTATTAAAACTTGTAGCTCGAGCGATACTTGTAGGTTGAGGTAGTCTTAGAGAAACAACCGGATGACGCTTCATAAAAGATCGAAGCCAAACCTCTCCAGCCATTTCATGCTCAGTCCAAGAAGAAGGAATTTTTTTATTATATTTAACAGCCAAGCTATAGGCAAAAGTTCTGGCTTCCTTAGTTCTTAGGCCAAAGTTAGCAGCAGCACAGTTTAAAAGATAGTCACACAGTACTTTTTCTTCTGAAGCTGTAAAAACAGTCTTTTCTGGGTATCCAATCAACTAAGAAGGATACAAAAAGAATAGAAGGAGTAGCGGGAAGGGAATGGATGGAAAAGGCTATGGATAGAGAGGTCTGGAAGACGCTGGAGGAGGCCTTTACCTGTAAAAGGGTTAAGAGCCCCAAAAAATACTGCAAATAAAACTTTAGTATCCTTGTTGATGTTAGACACATACGAACCTTATATAATAATTAATTTAAGGGTGACATATTAGTGCCACCGACATGAAATATTAGTGCCAGTAGCCGCTTCATATTAATGTGAATTAACATTCTCTGCAAATGGTGGACATCAAAACGAAAAGTAGAAATAGACTTCAATTACAAGCTGTTTTGATAGTTAATATAACAAAAATAGCAACACAAACCTGCCTTTGAAATATATATATATGCATATGCATGCTGAGTCAGCCTATAATTGTAGTGTGCTTTGTAGCTACATATTCTATATTGTAAAACTTTTAATGTTAATTTAGATCATTGTACATTATGTAATACATTATGTAATAAATAAATAAAAGCCCATCCTTATCAATAAAATTGTGTTTTATTGTAGTGTAGAACTTTACCTTTTTATTTTTCTTTTTCATTATCATGTTTATCCTATAATATCTCCCTAACAATAGCAGCAAATATTTCTGTCACACGGGTCAGTGACTAATTGTTTCTGGGATGTGAAAAAGTCAGTCAACTCATTATCAGATTTCAAAAATTTACTTACTGTTCGACAGGTATTAAAAATAGCAGCTTTTTGTGTAGTGACATATGTGAGTGGTGGTACTTAGGTATGACTCCAGTATAAAAAGCACGGTAGGGACAATAAAGACATTATTTAAATTCCAGATTCTAATTATAACTTCTTTTAATAATAATAATATTTATTTGCTCTGAATGTAGGTACAGAATATAGGTGTATAAATAGATTTTAGTATAAGTTCCAGTACATTCTACCTTAAGGCATGCAAATATAAGCTTAAATTATAAATTAAAATTAACTATTAAATTAAAATTAGAAATTAAATTAACGATGCAATTATAATTCATATGAAATATTTTACAGATGAAAATTAACAATGATAGATAGATACATAATTAAGTTATATATTTTATAAATTTTTTATTCATCAATTTCTTACAATATTATGTTATTTCATTAGATAATCATTTACGGAGTAATAACACTTGTTGACTAGTAAGGAAAACAAGTTTTTTAAATTTTACATAAGTCTTTTATTTCATTCGGTATTTTGTTGTATATAATAGGGCCATGGTCAATATGTTCCTTCTCAATAAGAGTTTTGTAATTGCCCGTACATAATAGATTATGATATTGAGACCTTAGATTTATAGCGCGATTTCTCGTTTCTCTTAATGAAGGGAAAAGGTGCTTATTTGTTTTCACAAAGACTGCAATTTCAAATATATATAACCAAGGAAATGTTAAAAGCTTATATTTCCTAAAAATCGGTTTACAGCTGTCCGTGACCTTCAAGTTGAAAATAGATCTAAGGCATCGTTTTTGATCCTTAAAAATACTTTCCCTTTGACAACAGTTACCCCAGTATATAATATTTAAATCTGTATATTTCTTAATATTTTCCGAAATTGTTTTTAATACATGTCTTTGAAACAGAAATATCAATTAAATAAGCTGGTTTAGATATATAATTTTTGAACTAAAGTTATATCTGATCTATTTTAATGGATAGTTTTAACAGTAAGAATTTCTATATCATATAAAATTAATAAGGTTTTTGTCAAAAGTCTATTTGAGTGTTCTTGATTGCACTGAGACCGATTACTATAAAAATAGAACATTATTTTATTTGTCTTATTCAGTCTAATTAATATTTATTGTCTAGATCAAATTTACTACTATATCCTTTATTGCACTAAAACAAGACAGAAAATAACATAAAAGAAAAAAAAACATACAAAAAGGCTGACTTATCTCTAAAAGAGATCTCTTCCAGTCAACCTATGGAGGTGGGTGATAAGAGTCATACAGCGGGCGATTCAGTGCAGACTTCTGTTTATATACATTATAAAATAAAGATATGCATTACATTATAAAATAAATATATTCTTGAAAAATAATATTTATATAAATAAACATACATACACATATATACATAAATAAATACATATCAACATATACATACATATATACGTAAAAACAATGTAATACATAAATACATATATGAAGAGATCAGTTTATGAATAAGGGTAAACTTGGGCCAGGAAATGCTGTCTTAAGCGTTTTTTTGAACATATCAATACTAGTACTGTCCTGTATGAATTTAGGAAGTTTGTTCCATAGTAGCGGAGCCCGTACTGTGCTACTATAAAAAATATAATTAAATTAAAATTTAAAGCAGAAATTTTGAAAATATAATTTATTATGGAGAATCTGTTTCGTGTGTATGTAGATGATGTGTCGTCCCAGTATTCTCATTTACATTTCTTGTTGTATCTAACTTGGTCACGTCAGTTACCTAAAAAAAAATTATTTTACATCAAGTGAAACTACCCAATTAATCTCACTACTATTCATAAATTAGTACGTCACTTCCTCAGCAAGATTTGTATTTAATGTTTAGTTTCTGGAAAAATTTTCACGCTAAAAACATTTTAGTGAAAAAAATATCGTTTCAATATTATTTTTGTAAACAACTCCGTCTATTTACAGTCACTGTTCTTTTATATTTTTTGTATATGGGTGTTTCTCTGCTATTTAGAAACTCATTACTACAAGACTGTCCTAACCAAAATTTATCAAATGTTGAGAATGTTTGTCAATACAAAGCAAGGTAATAGTATATCAAAAATATATATTTAAGAAACACACACATTTTTTTCTTTGTTTTTGAGGTATGAGCGGTTTTGTGCAAAATCGTGACAGGGTAATGTTGTGACTAACCAGGGGAATGTTTTTATGAACAAAAACTAATATTTTTGTATGTTTAAATAATCAAATCTTTATTTTTATTAGCACTTACAATGTGTAATTATTACTTAAATAATCAACGAGATCAAAACTAAATTCGCTTACAAAATAGAGACATTTTAATAACATTTGTTATAAACTGAACAAAATCAACTTCTTACTTTAACAGTCTTTCTAAAATACTGATTGTTTGACATAAGTCAGCTCTTAGAATGTTAATGAAAATAAAAACAAAAATATTACCTCTGTTATCCTATTATTACAATAAACTTTTTGGCTTACAACTAAGAAACATTTATACTTTTTAGGTAACTTGAAATAATTATCATTAGTGGCACAGTATATCACTAAAAATCAATTTTATCTTTCAGAGAAACATCTCTTATTTCTCAAAGACATGTACTGATTTTCGAAAACTATAAAATAATCTACTTCCTTTAACAGTCACGTTCGGAACAGGCAACTTTTCCAATATTTGGTCAAAACCGACATCAAACATATCATTCTCATCTATTCTAAACGTGTAACCTTTGTTATCACAAATTTTCAGAAAAGTCACTGTTAGTTCGCCGTCCTCATCATCTACTTTATTAACAACAGCAGCATAACGATATTCCCTGTTCCCGACAGTAAACTTAACTAAAACATAATCACCACTGTTATAATAAGTTTGCTGAAGGCCGCTTGTACTAGGCTCCGCAGTATTCTCAAGATCAGTCTTAGTATTTTCAATCGGTCTTAAAAGGACAGTCTGTGTAATGCAGTCATTATTCCGTGGGATTTGAGCTAGCGGGATTTCGTCTTCGGAATCGGAGTCTGTGTAGAAATCCTCGACGTGAAGTTTTGCCACTTCATAGTTCATAACACCTAGGTTAAAATGCTGGCATTCTTCTTCACAAGGGCAGCTTAAGCTCTTCATTATAAGTTTGGCAGTGCCTTGTGGCAAACCCAAAGGACTGCGTGATATCTTTCCCTTAATCTGATGTATTTTAAGGGTGCCATAAAAGCTTTTTAATTTTTTGGCGTCTTTCAGAATATCGATAGCCATTTTTTTTATTGCATCATCGTCAACTGTAAATAGAGTGATTGAAGGACACCTTTGACGTACAGAGTCTATAAAAGATTCCAAACTATCGATATCTCCTCCTGCAGCAACGACAGCATCAGCAGATCTTTTGCACGTGGCGCCAATACCATCTGCGGCACTCTTGCCATGGTCACTCTCTGAAAAATTCCAGGAGAACTTTTCTACATTTGGAACCTCCACATGTAGCCTCGAAGCCAGAATATGGAACATCGTTTTATTTCGATACTGTGTAACGGGTCCGTCGCTCACAAAATGAATGCCGGTAATATGCGATGGTAAAGTTCTAAAAATAGGCTTCAAATGTTCCCAAATAGCAGCAGGTGAGTGTGTAGTATTTTGGGAAACAGTACAATAGGATTTTAAGGCATTTTTAGTGTAAACTACCACGGTATGAAGGCTAAGCTGAAGTCTAGAACCTCCAAAATGATAGGCCTGTATCTCCTCACTGTACTTGGTACAGTAATTTTCTGAAAAGTCCATGAGTATAACAACTTCATTATCATTAAGATTCTCTTTTAACTCTTTGATAGCTGTGTACTGATGAAATATGTTTCTTTCGTGGTTATAATACGCATCCAGTTCATCGTGTAGTTCTTGTATTAATTCACGAGGACTAACCGTAATTTTCTTTTTCACATATTTTGTTATAGATCGTACTTTATTTAACTTTGGATCTTTGTAATCTTGTTTCTCAGCTATCCATTTTTTATACACTATAGGCTTGCTATCATCAAACTCTGGTAATCAGGATTCTTATTGAAACAATGCTGACATTCCCGAGATAAACATTGCTCATCATAACGATTACAGCAAGTTTTTTTCAAGCAATTTATTATGATTATCGTAGCGCAAAATCTTCCGGCAGTACAAGGCAGATAATTTCATATCAATGTTTGCGTGTCTGATACAAAGGCATGTATCCCGTTCATTTATTTTGGGTGTTACCACCCAGAATGGACGCAAACGACAGAATGTCTGATAACTGATTAGACCTGAGTGATTACTCTTAAATTTCTGGTACAAATTGGTCAATGTATCTAGCAAGTATCTCTTTTGCTTGTTGACTCTGTTCTTGGTTACACATTCCCGTTTTCCTGCACCAATTCTGCTATTATCATCATTTTCATAAAAATTTTGTACTATCTTCATATGTTCGGATGCAATAAGTGGTAGTCGAGTCCGTGTTGTGGGTAATAATGATAGATTTTTAATTTTCTGAAGCCTCTTATAGGACACCACACTTTCTTGGCTCCTCCATAACTTATATTTTTCAACCAATTCACCTGATATAACTTTTCCAAAAATATGTTTCTCTTTTTGTGTTTGTAATCCTGCATAGTTTTCTTTTAATTGTTTATTTAATACTTCCCCAAAAAGTGCCTTCTTAACAACGTCTTTGCGAGTTGATGGAGTGACACACATTCGTGTTAGTTTTGTGTTAGGTGTCTCATCTTTTTTACCGTTTTTATTAAGTTTTTGTTCCAACCGTTGTAATCTTTTCTTATATTTTTCCAATTTCTGTTTGTATTGTTGAATCTTATTGTCTTTATCTTTCAATATCTTTGCACGTTTCTTTCTAGCCTGTTTCTTTCTTGCCTCAACTAATGCATTTTCTGACGACCTTAATGGCGCCGGACATTCTAATGTTGGGCCAGTAGTAGAATCTGGTGTATTTTCCCTGACAAAAGTATTAGTTATTTCTTTCATGGCCCTTTTTTTTGACGATATTTAGTACAGCGCTCTTTCCAAGTCTTTTTAGCAGCCCTATGCTCGCGACGACTCATATCCTTAACCAATTTTATGCTCCCTTTTTCTTTCTTCTTTTGGTATTTCAGCCTTTCTTTTTCTTTCATTTCTTCTAGTTTTTGAGGGTCATTTTTAAGGCGTTGATATCTCAATTGTTCAGCTATTCGTTTTTGTTCTAATATTTCTTCTCTTGTTTTGGGTGGCTTCTTTTTAGGTGGCATTTTGAGCTATAACCTACGAAAAAGAACGATAATTATATTATTAACGCTGAGGAAGATTGATGCGCTATCTAGCAATGAAGTCTTTACAAAACTTAAAAAACATTCCCCTGAGGTAAGAAACACTCCCCTGTGCAAATAAATGACAGGGGGATGTTGACCAGGGGAATGTTTTTTTTTAACTTGAAAACCAAATAACACAAAATCATTAAAACATATCACATTTATAACACAGATGTGCAGACATGATTGCTAGTAAAATAATGTAAACAAATTATCTTATTTAAAACTCTTAAAATATGAAAACAAATGCTCACCAGTGGAGTGTTCGTACTAACGGCCGCGACGCGTGGTTCACATCCAAACACAGTGGTGCTACTGACAAAATGGTGGCTGTCTATTTACATTGACAACCGAACGAACTTCACACCGTTTGCGTTCCATTTCACCGTTGAAATGTTTTAGACTAATAACGTAAGTGATTTTCGCGCCGTTTTCAAATGTTACCAGGGTAGTGTTTTTTAAAATTTGAGGACAAACTTCGTAAATTTTTTTTCAAATATTTTTTTATTATAGGCATGTAATTTGTAATTTAAAATATGCCACAGTCTTCTACAATTACATATTATTATCATTTAGTAACGAATTGACAAGTATTAAATATATAAATGGGTATCAATACTTTCAATTCTGGAAAAGGGACATACCAGGGGAGTGGTTTTTGAGATGTATAACATTTTTTTTCTCGAAAATTATTATATTAAATTATATAATGAGCAATGGTGAACCAAGAATACCACATTTATGTTCATATTAATCCTAAACATTTTTAAATTATAGTACTTATTCTAATAAAATTTGCTTGGGACAGTGATTTTCCATTTAGCAGAGAAATGCCCATATGTTTATCTATAAATTTATATCGTAATAGCTTCCTGAATGAAAAAAACTCGTACCACATGGTCTTGATGTATAATAGTTGTACTAAGTCTTGATCCTCCATCATAAGATAGCGTGGACGTAGGAGCTACGTTGTCCGGCAACAAATGACTAACTAATCCGTGAATGACACGTCTGAGAAAGGCATACAAATGTTAATAACAAAACAAAATGGACAGAAAATATATATATCCCTTTATTGCACAAAAACAAGACAGAAAATTACGTAATAGAAAATAAACAAACAAAAAGGCTGACTTATCTCTAAAAGAGATCTCTTCCAGTCAACCTATGGAGGTGAGTGATAAGAGTCATACAACGGGCGATTCTGTGCAGACTTCTGTTTATATACTTGCATACATTATAAAATAATATTTATATAAATAAACATACATACACATATGTATGTTATATAAATAAACATACATACACATATTTGTATATATATACATAAATAAAACAATGTAATGCATAAATACATATATGAAGAGATCAGTTTCTGAATAAGGGTAAACTAAGCAAAATTACTATAGATTTTTCTCATAATAAATAATATTTTTTTAAGTTATAAAAACATACGACGATTTTTGTTATCGAATCTGGAACAGCTAATTGAATTTATAAATATAACGATCATTATTTTTCTAATCAATATTTCCAAAAAATATATACTAATTTGAATTGGCAGACCCTGGCGAAAGCTGGGAGGTTGCCAGGAAGAAGAAGAAGAGTATTGATTGTATTGTATCATATTTTTTATATATATATCAATATCTATATTCTATAACATTAAACCTATAGTATCATTTTTACGAATTTATAATGTTAAACCGTAAAACAAACTCCTGAACTAGTTAGCAGCATACATACACACATGTACAAAATGTTACATTCTGACTCACCCAGCATATTCGAAACCCAATTTTTTCATATCATTTCTCTGGTCCAAATCTAGGTACATATGGAATTTTTTATACTTGTCCAAACTTTGAATTCTGCGTTTCAATCCTTTTTTGATTTGTCGTCTTCTTTATATATATAAAAAAAACTTGTATGTGAGCTTACAAAATATTATCATTCTGATTTGTGTTAATCATATTATTTTAACCATTATTATGTGCCATTAATAAATTTTCTTCTACTACATAGTTATAATTTTTGGTAAGTTATATTATGAGGTCTTAGAGTTTCGCAATTATTCATTTAAATTAAACCAATATTTTCGGATTACTATGAGTATTTTACTATTATCAAAAACTATATACTCCCGACGTTTCGGTTACATTTCAGAAACAATTATCACGGACAGACGAGATGGCATTTTTAGTAAGAGTTACTTATACTGTAATTGTGAGGAGCTCTCACCTTAATACAGGCTGGCTAATACTTCTTAAAGATACGGAACCATTGCCTCCGTAAATGTCTAGTATCCTCTCATAGAGTTTCGTGTACCAGTAGTGGGAAATACTGTCAGTGATCCTCTTTCGATTGCTATTTAGAAGGACCATCTATATTAAACAACACATAAAAATTTAATTACTAATACCTTTGTAATTGCGAAAAAAAATCAATACTGTACGACCCCCTGGTCCTCTATGTAAGAATAACTAGTCACTGGCTCACTACTACCCCGCCTAGAGCGACGCACGTCCCCGTTCTGCTCCGCGCTAGTCATTAGACTGCCGAGCGCATGCCGCCCCCTCTAGTGGGGTACGTGAAACAGTGTATTGTATATATTGTATAGATACAAACACTACAAATGCCACACTATTGTTTTACAAAACAAAACATAGGATAAAATATTTACTTAAAAAAAAAAAATCCAAATAAGTGAGATTATACTACATTGTTTAAGGAATTGCAAAACAAAATTATGATTAATAAAATATGAATAACATACTTCATCTTCTAATATCTTCAGGTATTCTGGGGTACGCCTGAATCTTTCTATAATAGACTTTAAGTCACTTTTGTAAATATATTGGGATTCTTGCTCGATGTTATAACGACGACAATTTGATATATCCAAAGAAACTGGAAGAAAATCATAGAAACTTTTACTTGTTTTTTAATTATTTTTTTAAATTTATTATACATATTTTACAATACTTTTTTAACACTAATATTGATAATGGTTCTTAATCTTATTTGTGTTATGAGACAATAGCATCAAAACAAAATAATTATTTAATTATCTTACGATATAAAATGGGGTAAAATACATTTTTTAAGCAATTGGCTATAAATACATAATATACAATATTTTTTAATAATAATAATACAATATCTTTTATACATTATAACTCGCTAATTGAACTACACAATTTGTTTTCTATATATCAAACTTCAGAATATTAGTTTCGCTTATCTCATATCTTTAAATGATAAATTCTTGTATATACATGTATATATAATTGGAATCTCTGAATCGGCTTCAACGATTTTCATGAAATTTATTACATAGAGGGTTATTTTAGACAATGTCATTTTATGAAAAAAAATTACAAAAAGGCGTTTAAAATATGACTCCTCCTGACATCTATTGGCGAATAGTAATACTTGTTGTTAATTGCGTTTACTAATTGCTTTAACGACTCAACAGCAGATGGCGTTATTAAGTATCAGGAAGTCAATGAGTGTTTGAATTGAGGTTAAACTATGAAATTAATTGTTGATTTATATTGTTCTGTGTCTTCTTAATGTGTTCGCTTAAAAATGCCTAAACGAAATAAAAAACACAATAAATACTAATAATTCCTTAATACCAAACAAAGTTCGGTAACCAGATATTGATTTGTAAATTAGATATTGTTTTAAAATAATAAGAATTTTCAATGCAAAAACTACAAAGAATTTGTGATGAACAAAACACTAAAAAAATAATGTAATTCTCACCTATTACGATAAAAACTATAGTTTTTAACATCCTGTTTCAAGTCTAAAATCCAATTATTATATCACAGTTAAAATGCTTTGTGGATAATCAATTACATCATGTTTTACCACCGCAATTTTGATATTAGCATTTCAACAAAAATCATAAAGAAACTTATTTTTAATATACTTTTTAAAATGTTGTAAACTGTTGTTAACTTTAAAAGACAAATTGGAATAAAAACCAAAGTATAAGTATCCAAAAATTTTGAACGAGTAATAGATTCAAATAATAATAATAATATCATTTCATATATATAAAATTGAAAATAAATATATAGACCATAAAATGTTATTGCTCTTTTGATCATAACGAATATGTTACCAAACTTATCGTTTATTTTAGGTGAGTTGTAAAAAGCATACTTTATAAGACTAAGATCTGTCTTAAATAAACAATATGTAACTCTCATATCGTCCCTCAAGTTACAAAACCGCTTAAGTCATTTTTACCAACTGTACAGGAGACGAAAAAAACTATCTACCTTAAACTATCTGTGTGTTTTTCTATTGCTTCTAAATACATACACTAGTTAGCGGTGAAGAAATAACTTTTTATACATATTTTGACGAGCTCGGTTCGACGCCCAATGCACAGCTTCTTCCAAATGCATTAAAATGTAAAAACTGACAATTTTCGACTATTTTGGTGATTATATTATTTCTCCTTTTACAGCAATATGTTATGTTTTCAAATGGTCTCAGTCTCATTTTTTACACGGCGACAATAAATTCTTTCATCTAGTAGAGAATAGAGAGGAATTGATAAATTTTATTAGATCTCTTGGACCTGATGCATACAAATCCGGAAATAATTCAGGTATACTTTATTTTTTTTAAAATAAATATATTTTTTTGAGTCCTATTTTACTGTATATATTGTAGATAACGCAAACGACGAAGAAAAAGAGAAAAAATTACAAGCAATGCTGCGGTTGATAAAAAAGAATTTTAATGCTCAAAAAAATTTAGAGTTTTTAGAGAAAAATCCCGTAAATTCGGGTGCAAGAATTTATTTTCTCAATAATCCTACAGTTTTAAGTGAATATTTGGGACATCGGGAAAAAATGCGACGGTATGTGTTTAGTATGCATAGTTCGTATTATATGTTGTGGGTTGTCATAAATTGTATATCACGTATGATGATCATAAAGAAACATAAAAAAATCTCTTCTTTGGAAACTTAAAGTAATAATTATTAATATAACCAATAAAAGTAAGATCTGCCTTTTATGTAAGGTTACTTAAAATTATGAGTCATCTTTTTTGATGTGATTAAAATAAATTATTATCCCATCTCAGCGCAATTTGCAATACTTTGTTGAAAAAATACTTGGATATTTATTACAGGTTTTCAAACCAAAATACACGAAGAAGAAAATTTAATTTAAAAAGCAAACTAAGAAATATAAGAAGGGACGCTATGTTTAGAGTTGGTAGGTACTTTTATGCAATGTGTTAATAAATTTTACCTACATTAAAAACAATAGTATTTTCTATGATATATATAAAAAAAACTTTCAGAATCTACCGGTTCGGATGGCGTGGACGCGGTTATAAATAAAATGTTAAAATTTAAACCAAAAAATACAAAATATAGGCCAAACAAATCAACCAATCAAGATATATACGAAAAAAGTGGAGATCAAAATATAGATAGAGACTTAGCTGACGAAAAAACGGAACAAGAAATAACGAAAAAGAGATACAAAAAGAAGACACGTGAAAATATACTTTCGGATAATGATTTTAGACCACAAAAACACAATAAGGACTACGATTATAAAGACAATAATAAAAATGAAAGAAAAAGAAAGAAATATGTTGATGATGCTATAAATAATGATTTATGGGAGACTAAAATAGTAAATTGGGATAAAACTACCGCAAGAGATTATTCGAATGAGTACAAAAACAAAAAATCACATAAAGAAAGTTACAAAGCATTTCCAGAGAAACGAAAACCTAGCTACAACCCCAAGAAGGAATATGTTAAAAACGATTTCCATCCGTATGGGCGGACTTCGATTCCTTTCATCGGGAAAAGAGGAGTTTATGATGAAAAATAAATGCTCTTTAAAAATGATAATATATCTTTTTAACCTATTGCGATGATAGGTAGGTTTCAAATGTGTATAAGAATAAATTGTATATGTTAAGTTTGTCTTTACTATATATTGGCTTTCTTTCTGAATTTACATATTTTCCTAAATCTGCTTAAATCTTATGTCAATATACAGGATCACAACAAACTTAAAAATGAGGTTGTTATTTAAAGGGCAATGTCCATTTTTGGCCTGGCGTGAACAAGCTGCTATCAAAAAACAAGTTTATGAAAAAGAAAAATATTTTTTTTAGCTGACCATTCTAATGTTGTTTGAGTGTACATTTGTATTTTATTGAAAAAATATTTTTAAAGTATCTTCATTGATTTGCTTTATTGATCCACGTTTTGTGTTACCAGCAAGATCAATTAACGATTGCGTCAAATCGAATCATCTCGCAGTACTTAATACAACTATAAGTATTTAATACAAAAAAAAATTAATAATATTTGTTTTTAATTAGTTTCGTCATTTAAAACGTTTTATAAACTGAAATATGAAGAATGTTAAACGTAATCATATCTGTTTTCGATGGATTTTTTAATGATTTTTTCTATTGCAACACAGTTTTATTAAACAAAAAAAATACAAATTGACATTGATATGTCACAGACTGATTGTTTACATTTGCTTAGTTTACCTTCATTGAGAGTGTTGATTTATTATGGATTTTCTTTCAACGATTGTTTATTCATTGTGGACACCGACCTATCTTTTTCCAATGACCCCTGACCCCTTCACATCTACGGACCCCGAATTTCGCTCAAACGATGACCCTGGCTTTTGTATTATGGACTCCGATCAAGGCATAAACGATGACCAACACTCACGTAATATGGACCCCGAAACTAGCTCCATCGCTAACCACGGCTTTAATATGGACATTGAACAAAACCAAAGCGTGTCTCATGATAGTCTGAACACAGAAGAAGTGACTTCTTACCAATCCGTATCTCTGAGATGCATAAACTGTGGAACTGATTTGATAGAGGTTCAGGTTCAGTCTATTATAAGACAGTGGATAGCTCCTCGACGAGTAAGTGTCAATTTAATTAATTATTTAAATCACTCGTTTTTTAATACATATGTATTGTATATGCTATTCCTATAATGCAATATGAGGTTTTATCGTTTTATATAATTATTATAATCCTTATATACTGTTGTATTATAATAAATGAAAATATGTTTACTCCTAACACATTACCTGACTTTGTTATCGAAAATAATTTAAATAGAAGGCGGGCAGATTTTCAACCTATAAATGTAACCATGGACAGTTTCATATTTCCAAGAATAGAATATAATGATCTTATATTAATTGCATGTGGAACATACCAACTAAAACAAGCTTGTTCGTATTATGGGCAGCACATAAGAGGCGATGGTTCCTATACTATAGATGTAAGGTAAAAGTACCAGTAGATGACCACTTAAGGAGACAGAATATTCTTTTTAAATGTTTGAGTTTAATTATCATATGAATTCAGTAAGTTTCTTTTTTGGGAAACCCTGTGAAAAGTGTTTTAACATATGAACTAGTATTTCACCACGTAAAATGGACGAATAAAATTAAAAAAAATTAAAAATATTCTAATGTTAGAAATTTAGTAGTTGACCATCTAAAAACTAGAAGATGACCATATTTTGCATCAGTAGTTGACCACTCAGATGCTACAATTTTAATTGGGTTATTTGTTAAATAAAAAGCAAAATAAGACGAAAAGAAAACGTTTTATTTGAAATATAATAATAATTAGGCCTGGACACTATATTCCAACTCCTTATACACACGTTTGTACCATTCTGGTAGGTGATCACCTGTTACCTTGGCTCTCGATGCTGTCAAATTTTGTGATATCCTCTTGGAAATGGTTAAATTACTCCAAATAAAGGCCTTTACCCATGTTCTACCTGGTCTTCCATGCTTGAATAAGACACATGGACGTTTTATTTCCTTTAAGTATTTCTCTACACTCACAATTAACTGTTCGGTTGTCACAGGAAAACCCGCTTTTGCCATTTTTTTGCACCCAGTTGCATATTTTATGCTCCTCTTCTGGTGTAAGGATGGATGTCGGACCCATTTTTCGTTCCATCGGTGACTTCCCTTTTACTTTATTTGTAAGCGTTATTCTTGGTACACCGAACTTTTTGCAGCCGTTCGTATTGGTGTTTTATGAAGACGAACATCGTTCACTGCTGCAAGCATTGCAGCTGCAGTATAATTTAGGAATGCGCCCCTTTTCCCACGCATCTACAAGATGAAAATTGGTTTTAGTAATAAGTAAACCATAGCCATAAATTTGTACCATACAGTTAGTCAACTACTAAAGAAAATCAATATATTGTTAAAGTAAATAAAATAGTTTATTTTAATTAATTATTATATGCAGCATATTTACAAGATACAGAACATAATCAAAAGTTGACCACCATGGTCATTTACTAGAAAATCATAGTCAAACGGAATTAGTATTGGACCACCCCCACATCTCAATTTTGTCAACAAATCTTCAAATTTTAATTAGCCTGTCATATAAATAAACCATAAACGAATAAGAAACGAAAAACACTTACCGTCAACAAGGTGACAAAGTTCCTAATATTTAGCTTCAAACTTTTTCAATCTTTGCGAATATTGTAACAACAAACGAATTTATTGATTTTATGGTCCGTCACTCAACAAACAACTGGCAGCCACTTTCTATATTATACAGATATGGATGCGCAATTTTCGCTCTTAGTTGACCAGATAGCAGATCTGACTACTTATTAACGAATAAGTTTTAAAAATTGCCGCGAATTCTTATTATAACGGTTTATGTGCATTAGTGGTCAACTACAGGTACATGGTCAACTACTAGTGAGTTTACCTTATGTATGTAGAAATATAGCCAGCGACCTATTGGTTGACTACCCAATTCCTTTGGCCAACTGCAGATTATTGCGTGGAAAAATACAAAGCAGACATGTAAGTCGAAAAATATATTTTATATATGTATTATATGAAAATAATTACGATGGTAAGGAAGCTATAAAAGAATATTATTGTAATTGCATGGTTGGCCGAAGGACAGTGGGTTGCTGTGCTCATATAATGACTATTTTATGGTTTTAAGTTGGGCAAGGTATCAGGAACACATTTCACCACCTGTAATGTCTCAGAATAAAAAAAAATCATAAAAAATGTTGTTTTATTTCACTTTAACCTGTTTTTCCTCACATGACAAAAATCTCTTTTTAAACATTTTGATACAAAATTAAGTTCATATTCTCATTATTACTAGTTAGTGCTTTTAAACTAATTACAAAAAAATATGATAAAATGTCTGTTCACGTCAGGCCAAAGTCCCCGTACTAAGTGGACAATCTCGTTTGTGTTATTTTTTTTTAATCTTGTTTATTTTATAAGTCATACATTCAGAGATTAAGGCGACTTAAATATAATTACAAATACAAACAAAAATTCTTATACTATAAGTGTTAACATTTGAAATTATTACTTAATGAGCATTTTTATAATAGTCAGATCTAAGATTCAATGAGTCTATGATGAAACTTACAAATCTACCACTATGTTCGGCTGTGAAACTTGAACTTAAGATTTGATGGAGAGAGAAGAGCTCACCCCTAGAACATCGAGTTTCATTTAGGAAATCCAACCTAGATTGTTCGTTGATTAATCAATTGCATATTCTTCATCTTACATTTTCTTTAAATTTGAAAATGCTTAAGCAAAGCTCAGTTTTACAAGATGGTGAGTTACTAGCATCGAAGATTATTAGATTCTTATTGAATTCTTCATTTATATCAGTTACCATATATACGAGGGTGGTCTGAAAAGTTTCCGACCTAACATAGATACAAGATTTTTTTCTTAAATTCTTTTTTTCTACATAGTCTCCTTGTAACTCTACACACTTCTCAAATCGATGCTCCCATCTCTTTAATCCAAATAGTACTCGGCATTCTTCTCTGCAAAATAATTGTTCACGAAGGTAGCTCCTCATTTGACAAAAATCTTTGTACTCCGAGCGCAGTTTTTAGTTGAGGGAACAGAAAGAAGTCGGCTTGGAGCTAGATTTTTCGAGTAAGGTGGATGGTAAAGCTGTTCAAACCATAATTCATGGATTTTCGCCATGACAACCGTTGAGGTGTTAAAAAGTTTAACTTATATATTGTCAAAAAGTTTATTTTTATAAAAATTAATTGATGTAATTAAACATATATATAAACTATAACCGTGAAACTTATTTTTAAGTTATAATAGTTTTTTGTATTATATTAGTAAAATAAAATAAAAATTATATTCATTTTAATTTTTTTTTTGACGATGGGCGTGTGGTGTATGCATTAAGTATAAGTAGTATGTAATCTTTATTTAATCGGCGGCACTGACTCTTGAAATGTCCGATCTTTTTGCAATGATAGCATCGAATTTGTTTCTTCTGTATTTGACAATTGACATTTCCACTGACAGTTGACCTTGACATTTAATTTTTGCTACTGCCACTGTGCGCCTGTAGGTGGCGTTTCTGTGCATGTGCAATTAGCGTGCCTTCTGACTTAACCTCAAAATCCGAACTCATGTCTAGTAATTTAGTTTTGTGTCTGTTCTTTCTTTTTTATTTTCAATAACTTTGCATTAATTAACGATACATTTGAACCAGAATCATAAATTGCTGTAACTTTTAAAGTGTCATTTAATAATAATTTAATTTTTATTAATGGTGATACTTCTAGTTTTTTGGATTCCCTTTATTAAGTTCAACTTCTCATTCAGAGTTATTAACACTTTTCACTACATATTTTTGATTCTTTCCATTGAATCAGCAGTTTTTTTCAGGATGAAAACGTTTCCCTTTTTTCTCATTGATACAAATTGTAAGATTTATTTTCTTTATTTCTTTTTGTTTTTCTTGCAGAGTGTATGTAGTTCTTTTTGAGGTTATGCAAATAATGTTTGATTTTTCATCTGGTGATGGTTTCACACGAAAAACAAATCTTAATTTCTCCATATTTTTTGTATTTTATTGCGGAAAATGTTGACGAAATAATTTCTAATAATTTTCTGAAAAATATTATTTATTTATTCTCTTCACACTACATCAGTTTTTATTACAATTAATATATTTGTAAGACTAAGAATGCCTTCATCAGAACTCATCTTGAGCGGGTGAACAGAAAAATCACAAGTCCTTGTTACGATTACAATTATTTAATAAAATACACGGTGGAATGGATAATGTACAGTCTAATTAATGCGACACCAACTTAATTGAAACTTGGGTATTGGTGGTATCTTGGACTAATTACAAGACGAACTTATAATAATAATAAAGCCCTTTATTTCCGAAACTTACAATTTACAAAAGTTTACACAAAAATTACGTTGAAAGTAAATATAAATTTTACTAAATAATATCTCTTAATTCGGTGTGCCTTATTGCAAAGGCCTCCTCCAGTTCTTTCCACTGCTGTCTGTCTGGTGCTATTTTGGTCTATAAGGGCTTGAACTTATAATACTGATGTCTATAAAAAAAATTCCAAAAAAATCCTTATTCAAAATTCACAATTTTACATAAAAATAAACGCAATGTACCCGGTACCCGCATGGTGAATCCATTAGATGCTAAGAGGTTTCGTCTCTCCAAATAAATGTTTTTTTTCTCATGCATTCGTTTCTGTAATATCTATTTCCATTACGAGAAATATAATTATAAAATATCTCGTAAAAATAAATCAAATCCATTGGTGCGTGTTATTTATTATTTGAATTGAAGATTGTGTGTATTCGTAACATGAATATTTTATATTTGGTATTTTTTTTCGGTACGTACATTTTATAAAGATAATAATTACCTTACATAATGGCAAGATAAATGATTTAAAATTAACCTTAGTATATAGCTTGATCCAAAAATAATTGAAATTTGAATTTTACTTATAAAAAATAAACAGAAATATTGTTATAAAAACATAGTAATTTAAAATTTTTGAATAAAATAGGATTCAGTGCAATAATTCGAACACGTGACCATAATATCATTATTTCTACTTTTATAAGATAATAAAACGAAAAGGAAAATATTTTTTGTTAAAAAGAAGTTTTAAAGGGCTCTTCCCTTTAAAATAATAAACGTTTGTTAATTTTGCTCCAGTAAGATTTATTACAACCGTATTCTAAAATACATCGTACATAGTAAGATATAAAATTTTTATGCATTCAATACTATTAAAAGTTTGACATATACGTTTTATATAGCCTAATTGCTTATACGCCTTATCAGTAATGAGTTCTTTATGCTCTGACATCAATAGTTTAGAATCTAATTGAATTCCAAGGTCACACACTGATTTAACGTCTTGGATGGGCTTGTTATCAATATTATAGTTATATTCAATACTTCTATGCTTCCTAGAAAATGTTATTTTTCTGTTTTTATAACACTAATCGTTATTTAATTTTTTTCCTGTGTGTATTAACTATGTGTCAAGAATAAATGTACGATATAAAATGCTAATTATATCCAATTAGATCAACTTGTACCTTCTACCTTCTACCTGGCAATTTCCCAGCTATAGCCAGGGTCTGCCTTACTTGTTGTGAATAGTTTTTGGCTATTTGTTTTTACGACCGGCCGCGGCCGCCTGCCTGACGTCAACCCTCTTTTGGGAATCAACATTAATCAGTGATGTCTAAATACTCTTAGAAAGTACATATGATTCGGAAAAATCACATTGGTACTTGCCCGGGCCAGGATCGAACCCGCGCCCTCGGCGACGAGAGGCGGGCCCTTTAACCACTGAGCCACCACTGACTAATTAGATCAACTTGTATTAATAAAAAATATATTTTAATAATTTCAGCCTGCCTTTCATCATCTCTACAGAAAAATATTATAAAAACGAAATTGAAGGTTGTCGATTGTGCAAAAATCAAATGTCCAGCAATAGACGATCCAGTGTGTGTTAAAATTAAATATAAAAATTCTAAAAACTACGAATACGTCATCGCGGTTAATAAATGTGAAATAAAATACGCTACTTGTCAGAAAGGTAAAGGTTTTAGATTGTTTTGGGAAAACTTATTGAAGTTTTAATGTAACTTACTTGAGATTTATGAGTAAAGATAATATGATTATAATTTTTTGAAAGTCAGTAAGGGGGGGTGATAAAGAGGGAGAGAGAACGAGAGTGAGAGGGAGAGAGATATATCATACTTTTTTATTTGTATTTTGTTATTTGCATTTTTGTATTATTATGTTTCATTTATTTTTGTATTGTATTGTCCTATTATCCAGTATTCTACATATAAATGACTTATAATTTCCCTATACATATTAATTAATTTAATAATTATTCATTGTGTACTGGGCTACTGATTACGAAAGACAATAAAAAAAAATTGAAAAATTATTTTCTAAAAAAATATCTTGATGAAAATACCAAGGTACAATTATTATAACATAGTTATTGTTCGAATTATCTTAAATATATAAACAATATATGTTAGTTATTTAATAATATTTCTCGCGACATACAACATTTCTTTTTTGTACGTCATGTGTAAAAAATTATGCTCTTTGTGGTTAAAGAACTTTATTTCCTCATAAAGAACATACAATGTTCACTTAAATGAGATATATTACTTAATTAACAATTCAGTATAGTAGTAACGACTTCTACAATTCAAGAGTAGTTAATCTAAGTGCTTTTTACAATAACTTAATAATTTCTTTCTAAAAATCGTAAAGGTTTTTTCATTAAAAATTTCATTAGGTAAGCTATTATATAGTTTTGCTCCCTCAAACTGTATAATTTTAATTCCGTATTTGGTCCTGGTCTTGGGTAATACAAGTGCGTTTATTTATGCTCTTTGTAGTCAAGATAATTAGTCTAGCAATAAACAAAAAAATATTGTCTATCTTTATTTTTGTGAGGTTTTGAAAATAAATATTTTCTTATATGAATAATATTTTCTTTTCAGATGTAGAAGCTGTTATGGTGCCTATGGTCAAGTGCCATAACTCAAGTGACGAAATCAAGTGTTAGTTATAAAATATTATTTTATATATTAATAAAATGACCAAAAAATCTAATTGAAAATTATCCAAGATATTAATGCTTTGATACCACGAAGTTCAAATTCAATAGTTAATAGTTAAATTAATTTACAAGTCTCTATATTGTTAGTGTTGTTTTGGTATTTATAAAAGTAAAAAAAAATTAATTACGAAAACTATATAAGTATCATATTTTGTATCAAATTTTTCGAATTTATTTTCCAGATAAAAGAAACAAAAGAGATGTTGAAGGTTGGTGAAGTTTTCCTTATTTTATATAACTCTTTTTAAGGTATAATTCATTTTTAAACTATTAATATGGTACATAAAAATTATTTACTTTATGAGACATTATTTGTCGTGCTATTGTTGTTTTTTGTTAATAAAATTGTTAATTCCTCAATTGTATTATAGGCGAAACTAATGAAGATTTTACTGGCGAGGGTAAGTAGTTCTAACAGTATTATAACATATTGGTAGACAGAGTAAATGAAAGACTGGTTTTTGTTTATTAGGTACGAAACTCAATGCAGATTCAGATAAAAGCAGAGATATAGAAAATGATGATGTTGATAACGAAACGGTTTTAATGGCCAACGAGACTAATGATGGGTTTGATAAAAATGGGGAAAGCGATATAAATTACGAAGAAGGAGGTGGAAAAAATGGACAATGGATAGCTGTTGTCGACACAAAAGTATTAAACGACAAACAGACAGAAGAAAATGAGGTTGAATTGGATGGTGAAGATAATACGAATGAGGCAGGAAATAAAGAAGATGATTTAAAAAAACCCGTTACGAAAGAATTAAAAGATTATGACAGTAACGATGACCCAGAAGCTAAAGATGATAATGAGGACAATAATGATGAGGTAAGCTTAGAATGAACGTAAATATTAGAAAATAGTTCTCTTTAAAATTTAAACTCCTTGTCTTATTTTGAAGAAATTTGATAAACATCCATTTTTTCATTCTCATTATCAACTGTCAATAACTTTCTTGTGTAAATTAAAATGATGATTTAATTAATAACCGATTTCCGCGTATGATATAAGTCGTATTGCTTTCTGTGGCAAGTTAAAATTGCATTATTGCATTTTAAATCAGAGTTTTCAACAGGATGACTACAGAAATAAAGAGTACGGGGAAGAAAATCTAGTCACTGTTGGCAATTTTGGGAAAGACTATGACCAACAAGAGGAAGAAGGTAAAATAAATAATAGACTTCTGATTCTTACTTACTTTAATATGGGTTTTTTTAACATCAAGCGTTCAGACTCTTTCACAATTGCATTATTTTTGTTGGGCCATGTCTATGGCCGTCAGTAACTACCTTCAATCAAGTAGACCATCTCATTTGCCACTTTGGTTCAAATAAAATAAAATCTTTTAGAAAAAACATATCATAGACTTGTTTTCTAAATTATTTAAAAAATTAGGCAAGATGCCACAATATTATTAGTAATTGCATCTGAAAAGACATGAATAAGTGAAATTATCTCCCACATTCAATATTTTGGTATTATTTCAGCGGATTTAGAGGAAAGTAGAAAAGATTGTCCTACAGTCTGTCCCTCGCGCGACGTGATGGTCTGTGCTAAATGCAAACACCAAATACACAGAACGTTTCTTAGCGCATGTCATCTCAGAATGTTTGCTTGCCAGCATCCGAACGAGAGTAAGTTTAATTAACTATATTCTCTAGAGGGTACTTATAAAATATTTGTGATATGACCTATGTTAGGTTTTAGAACTGAAAATTTATGTCTATAGATAGTTTTATGTTCTCTCAGAGTTAGAGGAATTTAATCTTAATTTTAAAACATAACTATGCTACAATATCATCGTTTTATTTAAAAAAGACATGGATCTTCCTCCCGAGTGGCCGTAAATAATCAAATATTGTAGTTTATTAAGTATTTTTTTCTTGTTCGATCGAACAGAATTAAATAACTTGTGTCCGTCTCCTGGCTCTAAGCTACCTGCCCGTCAATTTTCAACTACATAATATATCCCTACAGCCGTTCTTGAGTTATAAATAGTGTAACTATCACAACTTTACATATATAAATATATATGGACAAATTACATTTAATTTTACATAAAATATTGAAGTAACCGAAATATTTCAGAGTTAGAACTAGTTAAACGGAAGCCCTGCATGCAGTCCGGGCCGTTTTTATCTAAATTCGAGGACACGAGAGGCAGGATCCATGAGTCTAGAGAAGATGATGAAATACAGAAATTCATATTTTGCAGAGAGAACAATCTTATAAACAAAAGTAAAGTATGATTTTTTGTCATAAACACATTTTTTTTTGTTTTTTACATACAACTTGATAGCTTCTAACGATTTCTCTTTGAGAAATAAAAATAATTTTATTTTTAAAAATCATTATGTTACATTTAGTGACGACACATACATTGAGGAATGTTCACATGTGTGTGTAATGCTTATTTTTGCAAAAAAAAATTACTTTGGGTTCTTTTCGTCTCAATAAACTTTTAACAGGGGAATTGCAAGTTTTTGCTTCAAGAACTAATATTATTTCCTATTTCTTATATACAATTATAAACATTTAATTGTGATAAATTTAAATAAAATTTATTTCTTGTTTCAGACGATACTCGCTGCAACTTTGGAAAAAATAAAGAATAAAAAAATATCTATTTCTTTTATTTTATCTGGTTCAAAATATTTTCCGTTTATTTTTAATCTGCTGTTCGTTTGTGTTATTTTGACAGCGCTAATGTCAGACTCGCTGTCATATTTCTGGTTGTCACTGTCAATGTCTGCTGTAATGAGATCGTCTTCGGGGTGATAAGGGTTGTTTAAACTTCTAGATAATTTTGATACAACTTTGCTTTCTAGAGAACGTATTGTAAGCACTGAAATAAGGCATAATTTATAATAGGAAATTGGCCACTGATATACATAGTTAAAAGGCCCGCCTCTCTCGCTTGAGGGCGCGAGTTCGATCCTGGCAAGTACTAATGTGATTTTTTCGAAGATTTATATATATTTGTAGGAATTTTTGATCAAAATTCATTAATCTTTATAACAAAATAATATAAAATACTCACAAAAAAATGCAATATTCAACATTTTAGTTTCCCAGAAGTTGACTTTTAATATATTCATTTTCGTCGTCTAAGACCAATATTTAAACTTTGCCTAGATCATTACATTAATGAGGCATAAAGTTTTCTCCATTTTCGTAATTAATAACTTTATATTGAAAAATAAATTCCTTGCATTTGACTCAAGATTCAAAGTCGTACCTACTGAGTTATTATTTCGTTTCAACTAACTTTTATGACGAATTTTTAAATCAGTGTTTTATTGACTTGCGAACATAAAAACTAAGATGTAAAACGAAATCTGAAAATTCCATTATATAAAGGAGCAGTTAGATTATAAAGACAATTGTTTTCTTTTTCTCAAATAGTTTACATTGAAAAGTAATTTTTCTCCACAAGTTTAATTTTCATATATAACTGAAAAAGAAGAGAATACAAGATGATTTTAGGTTCTAATATATTATGAGACGAAACCTCTCATCATTCCATGTATTCACGGTGCGTGTGTCGGGTCCATCGTTGTAGTGATAGGAGCTTCAACAGTGACTGGGACTTGTGACCCAGGTGAAGGTTTAATCTAACGTTAAATGATTACCATATAACATTATTTTATTTAGACTGATTATGTGAATGTAAGCTTATTTATCTTTTCAATACTCGACTCAAATGCTTGCATGTTTCTGATAGCAAGCACACTATATGAAGTTTGTAAATAAAAATAAATATAATTAAAGATGTATTTAATTAAAAAATATAGATCCAAATATGTTTTTATTTAAGTAACTAAACTAATATTTGTAACATTAATAAATACGTTATTCTGAGATCAATTCGACTATTTTACACTTGTGTAGCAGCAAATGTAAGGCGATCTAAATTTTACATAAAATTAATATTGACTAATAATAATTAACACTTTAGTAAAAACTAGAATTGAATGCAATTGATAAGGATATAATTTGGAGTATGTCTTCTTCTCGAATAGATGCCGTATCCATGTTAGGTTGTAACTGCAAAATGGGCATTGATGGAAGTAAAATTCAGAAAATCTAGTACTTAACACAAATAAATGAATCTCCTAGTATCGTTCAGGAAACTCTTAACATTGCAAAGAGAGTTGCTAATAAAGTTAATATGAGTTAACACATATTCAGTTTAGAGTCCACCGCTGTTTTACAGACATCTATAAAGCATGTAGTAATTATAAGTCTTAATCCTTAATTGAATATAGTTTTATAAGTAAAACTGATTTTTCATGCATCCTCCACTTGAAACATAATTGGTACAGTCAATAGTATATTCGAGATATATTCGGTAAAGTCGCATCAAGATTTCCCCCAACATCGATTCAAAGTCTGGCGTGACTTACCGATATTGAGTATTCGAACCTTTTCGGCGGGCTACAGAGTTATAGTGTCGGCAATTATTATTATTAGAGTATCGACAAAAGAGTTATGACCACTTAAATCCACTGTATCTATTAGATCCTTATTTATCCTAGTTTTAACTTTTATACTTACCTATTCAAAGTAAAATTAATAACTATATTATAGAAAATTGGCTGGGTATAGCTAAGGATAGAAAACAGTGTTGTGCCTCGGGGGAGGTTTTTACCCGAAAGGGATCGATAAAAACAATTTCAATAAAATAATCTAAATAACTACAATTAAAAGTGTATGGGTTTACCCATACATTAACATAATTCCATAGTACGTACACATTCATAAGCAAATATAAATGTAAGCATTGTCATAATATAGTCAGTATCAATGAAGCGTTCAAATAAACAGGTCGTTCTCACAAACTAGCTGGTCTCCATAAAACTATCAAATCTAAATGGTATGTGGTACCAAACCCATACAAAATGCATGAACTCAATATATTATAATCAAACATTTATCATTTTATATGAATTTAGCATTGTAATTGCTATGGAATTAAATAAAGCTATATTATTTATTAACTATGCAAAGACCCGGCGGACTTCGTACCGCCCTATAGTCAAGAAATATCTGTTACCTTTTTATATAGCCTGACGCTATTTATTAAACCTTACTTTAGATATAACAATAACGCAACAATATTTTGAGCTTGAATTGACGTAGACATGGTAAAGACCAACCAAATTAATAAATGTCTAAGCCTTAACTGTGTCCCGCGGGAATCAGTCTGTTTCTTAATATACGTTAATATTTAATAATGTTTAATGTATAGTACATTTCAATGGAAATTGGCAATGTTGTAAACACAGCAACTGACAACGATTATTCCGTTCTTACGTACAATGGAAAGTCAGTCCTGATAATAATTATATCTCAATGAACCCACCAGTGTTCTTAACAATCTTTTCACCATTAAACAACTGTGTATATATGTTTATTTTACAAAATTATTTTGAGCACGAATCTTTTGCATATGTCAAATTGACACGATAATTTTTACTCATCAAAATCTATTGGCCTTTGAAAAATTAGTGTTGTACATAACAATTATACAATGAACTATTTTTATTAAACTATTAAAATATATTGAAGAGTACTGACATCACTAGTTACATAGACAAGTCTTTGTCAATATAAGCCGATCACATTTGTTTACAAGATTGCCAATTTCTATTGAAATGAACTATACTAAAATATGGTTTTTCAATTTACTTAAACAAAGTAATGACTTTAAGTCGGCTGTCTTTTAAGGGATATTATCTGTCTAGAAAGAGATTGCATGTTAGATCCTCACTTTATATGACAGTGGCGTGCACACCATAGATGCAAATAAGCACTGCATACCCTACCCATATAACATAACCTATATTGATTAATTCTTACTTACATACTTTTAATCATACATTACGAAATACGAATGTTTACAGACATTTAAAATACACTTGATTCATGATTTATTTATTTATTTAATAGGAAGCCAACGTGATACACAAAAACTTATAACTACATATATTATAAAATGATGGAACATTATTGTTTACAGTTGCGTATCATCACTTAGGTACAGGCTAACTCAACATGGATTACATAATGTTTAGATCTTACTCCAAAACTTACTAGATACAATAAAAAAAAATGGTGAAAAAAATTTGTATATAACAACAAAAAGGAATAAAAAATAATAATAATAATCTAAAAACAGCTAAAAAGAAACTTAATTACCAAAAAAAAGTTGTAACATGACATATTATTGAGAAAGGAAATGTTTTTTAATTTTACTTTTATACAAATTCAAACTATCATTAAAAGTGTCTAGGTTAAAGCAAACCTACATACAAAAATTCTCCCAAATTTCCCCAAACCTCTGTGCAAGGCACTGTGATATGAAATAAAATAAAATAATTCTACAACCTACTGAATTTACCATTTATTTAAATAAAAATACAACAGAAATGAAATTAGACAACATAACACAATAGCTGACATTACTCTTACTTTATATTAACTGTTTTGACCAAGAATTAATACATCTGGCTGACTCATTGCTTAACCTATTTCTATGTTTTCTAATTACCAATGATGCCTTAGAAAACTATATCTCAGTACATACTGAAGTTGTAGGTATTGAAAGAAAATCTCGAGCCATCTTTATAAAACCGAATATTCTGTTTCATGAGTCCTAAACCAAGCTAAAGTGTCTTCTCAGCTGGCGGCTCTGGGTTTAGGTAATCTTCCAACTCTTCAATACATTGAAGACAAGATCCAGATTCAGTTTACGTGGAGGGACATGCATTCAGTTTATCAAAGTCTATAACATATTCATCTTATTCACATTTCATTTTCTTTTCATTTATTGATACTTCTAGACATTTATTCACTGAGTGTAGACATTTTTAACTTTTTATAAAGATTGTTAAATTTGCGCAGGCTTTCTGTATTTATTTGCTTGCCTCAAAATGTCATTTAAATGTCTGAGCCTTATGCCTCGTGTCTAAAATCAAAGAGGTACAATAAATCCAGTTGTTTTTCTTAGAATGCTTAAGCATTTTGTCTCTAGCTACTTGGAAACCCATAATAAGCCTTACATTCACTTCGGATCGATTTGGTTTCTCATCTAATTGTTTCACCGTGGATTCAATTTTATCTAGCAAGAGATTGAATTATACAATAACTAGCGGTAATGTCATATATTTTTCTCCACTTAGTTTAAAGTGAAGTTTAAAGTTTATTAGAAACTTGTGTATTTTTTCTAATATTTGAAAATCATTTT